AAGCTTTACAGACATTATTTCAGTTAATCCAGCAACCCTGAGGTAGATATTTTCAACCCCCCACCCCCACATATTATTATAATAAAGGAAATTGAGACTCAGAGCGGTTAAAAGAATCAACCAAGGTCAAACCCAGCTGGTAAGTAGCAAGCTAGAAATGTGTACCAGACCCCAAAATGCATGCTTTTAAACACTGGACTGTTTCCCCTTGAAAGTTAAAGGACACACATTCCTTCCCCAAATGAGACTTTAGGTGAGGAGGGAGGGCAGTTTTAAACTGACTTCTTCAGTCAGTTCTTGTACTTATTCTCTTGGAGGAATGGAGTGTCATCCGGTGATACGCTGACCACTGGGTCCCTTTCTCGTGATCCCTACCATTGCAGCCTTCCTCACGGAGGCCTCCACTCTCGACACCAGCCTACTCAATATGCTGCTCCCTTCTAGCAACCTCTGGAACGCAGGGGTCTGTCAAACTTGGTGACACTGAGCCAAAGACCTGAGAGAAATTAGGAGACATTCAGAAAATGTCCCTCATCCCTGAACTGCTGGACCCTAAGGCACAAGAGCACATTCGATGGAAGCCCAAGCTCACTCCTTCCAGCCTGGTTCCCAAGCCTGGCCTCTTTCTAGCGGTCTCTCCTCTCCAAGTCCTTTCCCGTTCCAGGTCCCTCCCCAGTTGTCTCCAAGGCATCACCACTCACAGGCCCATGGGCCTTGAGGACACCAGTTTCTGAGCCTTTATTCCTCCAGAAGTGTCCCCAAAGTGCTCAGCTGGGCTCCACTCAGGAACCCATGGACCTTTAATCGAACGAGCTGACCGAAGGACAGGCAGAAAAGGACCAGCAGACTGAGACAAGCTGAACCAGCATGTAAAGACAAAGGAATGGCAAGAGTAGACAGAACACAGACTAACCAGGGACATGTCAATGGAGCTAGCTACCTGAGGTCAGAAATGAAGAGGGAACAGGGAGAACCCTGTGGAGACAGACCCTAGAGCCAAGCAGTCCAGCACTTGTAACCAGAGTTTCTCTGAGGAATAGCCTTGGTAAAGAGGTCACTGAAAGCCTGGGGAGGAGCAAGCCCAAAGACCCATTGAGAGGTGCATTAAGAGGACACCAAGAGAAATAGGTAGGAACAGGAAAGGCCTGGGCCTCTCTATAGAACCTGAGCTACTTCTATCCATCCCCACACCTACCCCATCTAGGCAAAACTGGTCAGAGGGTCACTGCTGGTAGCCCTTGCTAAATTCTGCACCAAGTCTTGAAGGATGAAAGACGACAGAGGTAGGGAACTTACCAAGGAGTGAGATAGCACCATCCTTGACAAGTTCACATTATGAAAGGAGACAGAAAGCCATCCCAACCCTTGAGGGGCCTGGGATCGAAGGAACACACCAAGGAGGAGGACTATTTCTTGGTGCAGACTGATATTGTCTTAGGCATCTGAAGGGACAGACAGTGAACGAGGAGGTCAATCTGGGACACTGGAAGATCTAAGCTGGATTCTCCACACCTCATTAATAGTTAGCCACGTCACTGTGTCACGAGTCTTGGAGGCAGGAACCTCGATGTCCCCACAGCCACAGATGTATTGATCCAGAGTAAGGCAACATTGCTGAGCGGCTTGAAGGGTAAGTATCTTCCCGGGAGCCCCATGCTGTACCCATCCTCTTCCTCCAACAGTGCCCACCTTGCCCAGATCTCAGCTCTGTACTTTCAGATGGTTTCCTTTCCAATCCCCAGACATTCCTAGAGTTTGACAAAGAGCAGGTGTCCTGCACAACCGGAAGTGCTGGTCACAGTTGGGAGACCAACAGTGTTGACTAGTACAGAAATATTTCCCATAACAGTAAGCACACATCAAAACTACCCTATTGTTAGTCTTTGCCCTAGGGCTTGTATTTAATACTTACTCATCTATCTTTAACTTTGTTGGCTCATGCAGAACGATGTCTGTTTCTAAATCCATCTCAAGCTGGGATTGGACTCCTAGCCTGTGAAGGCATGCAAGCTCCACCCACACTTGTGGGAACTCCAAAAGGGTACTTGGCCCAGAAGATTTTGCGGGTCAGAGATAGGGAGTGTCTCCCCATCCTGGGCTGGCCCACTAGTAAGGATCCTTCCCCACTCCGTCTCCTAACAGATTCAGATTAATGATGGCTCATTCCTAATTGTCAAATTTCTTTTCCTTCATCCTGTGTCTAATCACCAGTGACAGAAACCATTACGCAAATGAGAGCAGACGACTTCCCCCAACTGTTCGCGTTGGTAAAAACCTTGTAATTTAGAGCTCTGATTTGTAGGGGAAGCTGGTCTCCCCCAGGCATCCTGGGCATCTGCTCAACTGATGCCCAGAACAGCCCCTCCTCCACCCCATAACTCCAACCCCCCAGCAAATATTTGACTTCACAAAACAGTAGTTTTCACTGTAGTGCTGGTATAAAAATGGGATCTTGCAACATGGCTGACCCCTAGACAAGCCCAAGTCTCCACCTTCCTTGGCACATCCGACTCCCATGCTGCTGGTTAGAATGGGTAAATACTGCAGCAGCAATGTTACCTCTGCTCAGGCAGAATGTGAGCCTAAACAGCACTAACCTAGGTGAGAGAAGAACATGCATCTCATCTCCAGGAGGAAGAGACACAGCGGAACATGAATCCTGTGATCTAGCACTACTTCAGCTCTGAAGCAGAGGCATGCTGAGAGGAGCTATGGGACCTACATTCAAGGGTACACAGTACCCCCTCTCCCCAGCAGATCTCACTCCTCTACAGTCACTTCTTGCCTCCTCCACTTGTTAAGATGGCTTTCCAGCTTCCATGTCTCCAGCTGGAGCCTCCAAAGGCTTTCACCCTTGCACACCCTCTTGTCTGAGTCGGCTTGCACACTGACTAGGAACAAGACTGAGGAAAGGTTCAGAAGGAATGGAGGAGGAGCAGGGCTAGGGTGGGGGGTTTCCAGCCACACAGACTAGGTCTGACCTCGACTGTCACTCTTCATCCACTCGGAGCCGCTTCTTCATCTAGGAAGGGAGAAGCCACCGTGCAGGATGGTGAGGGACAGAGCTAAAGGCAACAGGCACACACCAGGTGTCTAAGATCAGGTAGCTATTACATCATACCAGCATCAAGACCAATCCTGCCACGGTCCCAAAGTTTACCTTCTCTCTCCTTGCCCCCAGCCACCCTAGATGAGACCTGTATGAGGCACAGTACCATGAAGGATTCCCTCCTGCACATGCCAACACCTTTAAGGGCAGAGGCAGGAAGACAGACCTGCTGAGAATGAAAATAAGAGGCTGCCCTGCCCTGTCCTCTTGCTGCACTCCTTGTTCCCAAGAGATGGAGGCCATGGAGTTTACTACAGTCCCATTGCCCAGCACTGGCTGTACTTGAAGAGCTATACTTGAGAAGGTTCCAGGTCTGTACACCCACATTGCATTAAAGCCCCCAGAATGGGGGACGAAAGACCCCTCCCCAAAATACATACACAGGTATGCACAGGCATATGCATGTATCTTCTCAGTCCATGGGGCACTGTAAGCTGAGCGTCATGGCTAAGAGCCACAGCTCAGACACTAGAGGTCAAACTTAGGGGGATGGAAGTAAAAAAGTGGGAAAGAAGGGAAGAAAATTAGACTTCCAACTCAGACTTTAGAGAAAAAGATGAAGGAGAGGGGACTTGAGGTAAGTGGACACAGGGCCACCACTCTGCCAAACTGCAGGGGCCCCATTCCATCTGAGCAAATGTGAACGATGGCACTCTGTTGTGTAACACTGAGCTGCCCAGCTATAAGCTGCAGCTGAGGAGGGTTCCCATAAATAGCTACCAACAGAAAATGAATTCCATCTCCATGCTCCTCCACCAGTCATATTACACTAGCTGTCATACGACGTTATGTTGGGTCTGGCAGAGGTGCTGGCTCCAAGAGGCAAGAGGACACTTTTGCCCTTGCCCTGAGGTGGATGAAAGGTTCTGAGTTAGCTGCCTAAGTCTGATCCCATTTCATCTACTCAGCCAGGAAGCTCAGCAGGTGCAGGGGATGTGGCCTGGACAGGGAAAGACAGAGGACCTGGAGGCTCAAGCCAGTCAGCTTTAGGTAGGCTGCAGTGAGATCTGACCAAGATAGGATGGCTAAAATCCGAGCTCAAAAGCTAGAGGCTAAGTCAGGCAGTATCCGGGGTTCACACTGCACTGTCACATTGGACAAGGTAAGCAGTAGAGAACCTTGGTAAGCAAGAAGGATGACAAGTGTGAACACACACACACACACGTAAGTGTGCATATGTGTACACACACATGCAGAAGTTCATACCCCTGGAGCCCAAAGAAGTCAGAGCTAGGAGAACTCCCTCAATGCCTAGCAAAGGGGCAAGAGCTGGTACTGAAAGAGAATGCTGCGTGTGTCTATAATTTGGAACATACGCACAATCCTCTGATCTTAGGTTCTCAAGGTTTCCTTCTATGTATGGCTTGAGTGTGTAGTTCTCAACCGGAACCCTAGCTAATCCTCATCCACTAGAAGGCTATCTAGGCTCCCAAAGACAAGGCTCCTTCTCAATGTCCCCATTAGCAACCCAGCAGCTATTGCTACCTGGCCTGCAGCCTGACTATGCTGCAAAAACTGGCAGAGGCAGACTGATGAGCAGATTCATTCTGGCACCACACCCCAAATGTAGTAGGGATACAGGAGCATCTCCTCTCTCAGGCTGAGGCACTGAGGCTTCAGGAGACAGGAGCTGAGAGCCAGAAGTGATATCCTGACCCAGGAAGAGGAACAAGGAACAGATATATATATGCATGTGTGTGTATACACATGCTTATGAACACATGTACACACACACACACCCTGAGGTTGACAGACTAACACAGACATGATGACAACCAGAAGCTGGGACTCCACACACTGATGCAGGACTTTAGGGGGGCGAAGAGGGAAGGTTCTGGGGCTCAAGAGGCAAGTGTGAGAAATCTTTCCAAATGGGAGTGGAGTCAACTACCTGCCTCGCCCCAAACACCTGCCTCCAGGGCCATGGCAAGAGTCCAGTCCATTAAGTGCAGCGTGCAATACTAGTGCTTGGAGTGTCCTGTCCTCATCAACGAAGCATGTGGACGAGCTAGCGGTCCCCCGGCAGGAGGCCTTGACCTCTGCAGGTTAGTTGTAACGGCCTTTAATCATGGTGTTCAACAAAGGCCCCACCTGTAAAGAGACACGAGGAGTCCATCAGAACCGCCTGTCTCCTGATTCTGGAGGAGAACTAAGTATGCCTGGAGACAGTCAATATTCAGCCATGGACAAGGACGAGATCACTGGACCTTGTAAATGCTCTAATCAAGTTTCCTGACTATGAACTTAGTATTCTAGGGCATGACCCTTTGGAGGTCATTTTACTTTCTCTCCCCTTTTACAACACCCTGTGTATCTATAAGTAACACCCATCAGACAGAAGATGGTCTAAGGAGCCAATAACCCCCAAACACCTCAAAGTGTGTTTGCATGTTTCTCTGATGTGCCTCAAGAACTTTAAATTCTTCTCTGTTTTAACAAAAGGCCACCTGCATTAGTCTTGGTGCTCTCAAGCCTATAGGCATCTCTGGTGTTGAGGCTAACCACTGGGAGGAGGTAAGACAACTAAAATTCAAACCTCCTTCTTTTACCCGATGGACCAGTGATATACCTAGGTGAGAAGCAGGACTCAACACTACCTAGAACAGCCCTGGCCCAGCTGGGAGAACACAAGGAGCTGCTTTATTACACACTTCCCATTCCAGAAAAATCCTCTCAGGGGTCCCCAGATGGCACATATGCCCCAAGGCAGACATTACTACTAGCATGGAACGGATTATAATGGATCCGCCAGTCATGCCCAGCTCTCATCAGAAAACAAGATTTCCTAAATACACAAATAAAGTCAAAGAAGAGGACAGCAGCTACTCAGACAAGGGGAGCTCCAGAGAATGTCCCCAACCCTTACCTCCTGTGGATTCCCCAAGGCCTCTCCAAGCATCTTCTCGATGTTCCTCATGATGGCTACTTTCTGATGAGCTTTGAGAGGATATTCAATTCTCTTAGGGGTAGGAGCCCCCTACAAAGGAAGCAGCAGCTCAGGAAATACCTTTAACACAGGCTTTCAGCTCTAGTACCATATTCTCTTCTAAAAAAAATAGTTCAATTTATTCCTCTCCACCTCCCTGCAAATCACTTCCAGGGACAACCAACAACCCCATCCCAGCCAAGACCACTCACTACACTATGCCTACTTCACCCCAGGCCCAGTTCCAGTTCCATACGGATACAGACACAAATAAAATAAATGTCTGTGTGTGTATATCAGTAATGACAACAACAAAACGCCACTAATATTCACCTTATACCAGAAGTTCACAGTGATGGTAATTCCCCCATTTAGTAATGACTCTATGTGGTGCCACCTATTAAAAAGAAAAGAAAAAAAAAGAGGCTCCTGTTTACTTTCCAGAGACAAGGATGGAAAACTACTATAGTCCAGCTAAGGGAAATAGTGAAGACAGGAACTCTATGCTCATCCTGTAAGACACACAGTGGGCTAGAGGCTGTGGCGTTCAGTCTCCAAATATTGAAGAGGTGGATACAGGGAGTACAGATCTCTCTGGACTTGAGCAACTGTCTTCTTTTCTTAGGAGACAGAGTGGTCCTCCATGCTTAGTATGCTCATGTCTGGACATGCTAATCTTCCTGCAGGCTAATCCTGCCACAACTGAGAAGGGACACAGATAAAGCTTTCTGGGAACAGGAAAGAAAGTATTCCCAAGAGGCCCCATCCCTAGCCTCCTCACCAGTACATTGGGATGTACAGAACATCACCAGGGCCCACCACTGTTTCATAACCAACCACATTTCGGAAATTGGGGAAACTCTCGTAGTCAGGATTGTCAAAGTCCACCTAAGGGTCAAGAAAAAGAAAAAAGATCAGTCCAGTGATTGCTTGCTGTGGCAGCTTTAAAAAAAAAAAAAAGAGAGACTTAAAACATGATTTCAGAGTTTGTATCCAGAAGATACAATGGATATTAACTGCCCCTCTCAGAGAACAACTTAAAGAAGTTCATGCTCATTTGTTACACGATAAATAATTTTAGACTTCAGTGCTCCTGAGCTCTGAAAAGCTCCTCAAAAGCCTTAGGATATGAGGAGTTAGGATTCATCTGTCACCCAAACCTTTCCAAATATTTTCTCCCAAACAAATCCTATCCTGAAGACTCCTGCATGAAGTAGTAAGGCATCTTTCTCCTCAAGAAGAGGATGTCGGGAGCTGGAGAGATGGCTCTTTTGCAGAGGACCAAGATTTGGTTCCCAGCACCTACATGGTAGCCTCACAACCATCTGGAACTCCAGTTCCAGGGGATCCAGCGTCCTCTTTTGACCTCCACAGGCACCAGGCATGCACATGGTGCACATACATACATGCAGGCAAAACACTCATACACAGAAAGTATTTTATTTACCTATCTCCCTATCAAAAAGAAGTAGCATACATAATAAAAGAAAACAATTATTCAAGTCAGTGGAGGCATTCATATTTTGATGAAACTGAGTCAAAAAATAAATAAGTGATCTGAGTCCACCAACATTAATGATGGAGCTTGCCCCCCAACAATTAGCTCTGTTTATACTTACAAATATCTGGGAATCATCACAGGAGCCTAGAACATGGGGGGCTACACTCTGAAATGATTCTCTGGCCTTGTTTGTAAGGCAAGACCAGTCAGTAATGCTGACACCCACGCCATACCCACAAAGGGAAGAGCAACAGTATTCCAGCCTCCTGTCTCAAAGGCGCCCTTAGAACCTAGAGCTCTACCCCTCTTCAGACCACAGAAGCTCACCTGGCTCTGCCTGTCACAGGGATGATGGACAGGGTATGGATAGAGGCACTCAAACTGATCTGGAGGGAATAAGATGCAACGCTTATGGCCTTTTATCTGGGCAAAGAAGTTCTGCTGCTCATCATAGTGAGCAGGTGTCACATTTCCTGTAAGAAAAAGACATTTTCTTAGCTGAGGTAGTGGTTCTACCATACAGCTGAAATGCAGACAGAGCCTAGTGCTGGAGTGAAGTCTAGCTGGCCCCCCAGCTAAAAGTTAAATTAAATCTGAAACAGGATCAGGAAATTGCCATTACAACTCTGAGTAAATCAGGTGTTACATTTTGAGCAGTAAACTCTAGCAACCATCACTGGGTAAGGCATCAGCTAGTAGACTGTCCTCAACGGTGGCTGATGCCCTTAGCTGGCAGCAACCCTGAGAGACGACTGGCATGACTGGTACCAACAGCACATAGTCCACTCCGGTGCTAACTACTCACTTGGCTTCTGGAGCCCAAAGAGACTCAATGGTGCTCTCACTTCACCACACCTACGGGATGCAGCATCGCTCACAGCAACACTGGGCTGCTCTCACTGAGGCTACTGACTCAATGAGAAAGATTACTGAAGAAAGGGTCGTAGAATTTAAGAGACATTGCTTAGAATGCCACCTTGGCAAGACCTTGTAGTGCAGGCCTGTAATTCCAGCTACTTAAGAGTCTAAAGCAGGAGGGTCATAATTTCAAGGCCAGCATGCACCACTTAGTGAAAATGTTTTTAAAATGGCTGGGACAGCTCAGTGGTACAGCACTTGCCCAGCAAGCACAGGGCCTATGTTCAATTCCCAGCACCACAAGTTTAAATACATATATATATACACACACACATATGTTGTTACCTTGAATTAGTTCTGCCATAATGCACGTTCCATCTATTCCTGTATACCCAAGGTCACATCTGTATATTCTATATAATCTGAGTTTAGAAAACATTCCCAGATGGACATGGTGGTATATACCTGTAACCCTAGCACTAGGGAGGCGGGGCAGGACTGCTGTGTGAGGCTACCCTGAGCTACATAGTAAGTTCAAAGACAACCTGGGGTATATAGTGAAACCTTGTCACAAACAAAACAAAACATCCTGCAGGCTAGCCAAGTATGCTAAAACAGCTGTCTTCCTAGTGCTGACAGTCTAAGTGCATCCTCAAACAATAGAGCCCTCACATCTCCACCAGAGGCAGCTGCTTCCCTGCACCTGGCCACAGGAAAGGTAAGCAATGAGATTAACCCAGAATCAAGGAAACCAGAACTATATTCTTTCTAAAGAGCCAAAACTTGGTTTTAGAGGAGCAGATAAGTTATCAATTCATAAGCTGCACTGTGGGAAACCTATTTACTATGTTATCAACCATCCAAACCTGTGGAAATAACAAAAGAAGACCGAGGAGCTCAATTAGGTCAATGGTATCAAATAATTATTCTGTTTCTTTGTTCAACGAAGTTTACTCACCACTTATAACACAGCTCTTGATGGCCCAGCACTGAGCTGGTGCTAGAAAAGAAAAATAATAATCTTGTCCTGCAAGCCGTGTTCCTTCTCCTGACCAGCACGTAGACACTTCTTTCTACTCAAAACAACAAACAAGGGGCTAGAGAGCTGGCTCAGCGGTTTGGAGCACTTGTTGCTTTGGTAGAGGACCAGGGTTCGACTCCTAGCACCCACATGATGGCTTACTACCATCCTAACTCCGGTTCAAGGGTATCCATTGCCCCCTTCTGATGTTGACCTGTACCATGCACACAGATGGTGCATATACATACACATACATGCATGTAGGCAAAATATTTATACATGTAAAATTAAAATTTTACAAACCATTAAAAAACTCAGAACACATTTTACATATTTACTTATGTGTTTATAAAATTCCCAGCAAGATACACAAACTAGAATACCATGAAGTGCCTTTAGAGGGAAACTGAGAAACTGGAAGTAAAGGGAGAAGACTGATGGCTAAAACCCATTTATATCCTTTCAATTTGAACCCCATAAATATATATTTAAGAGATAAAGTTTTACCATATTAGAATAGTTTCTGCCAGGCACTGTAGCACATGCCTTTAATCCTAGCACTCAGGAGGCGGAAGCAGGTGGATCTCTGTGAGTTCCAGGCCAGCCTGGTCTACAGAGTGAGTTCCAGGACAGACAGAGCTACACAGTGAGACCCTGTCTTTTAAGAAAAAAAGTTTCCATTTTTACAGGAATACAATCCCCTCAGTGTACTGAAAAGCAATGGAATGCAGTAGCATTTCAAGGAGACCTCACTATCGCAGTGTCTGTGCTCACACAGCAACTGAGAAAGGAAAAGAACAGCCCTGGTGGTCCTGGAACTACTCTGTCGACCAGGCTGGCCTCGAACTCAGAGATTCACCTGCCTCTGCCTCCGAGTGCTGGGATTAAAGGTGTGCGCCACCACTGCCCAGCGAGAAAGAAAAAGAACTTTTTTAAGACTGTATGACGGCCAGGCAGTGGTGGGGCACGCCTTTAATCCCAGCACTCGGGAGGCAGAGCCAGGTGAATCTTCGTGAGTTTGAGTCCAGCCTGGTCTACAGAGTGAGATCCAGGATAGGCTCCAAAGCTACACAGAGAAACCCTGTCTCAAAAAAAACCCCCAAAAACAAAAAACAAACAAACAAAAAGACTGCATGACACTACCCAAGAGACTTAAAATATACATTATCTTATTTAATCTTGGTAGCCATTTATAAGATCTATCTTGTTCCTCAGCAGATGAGGGGGCTGCAGCATTAAAAAGTTCAGTGACTTGTTCAAAGTTATGGAGCTAGTAAGTGGAGGAGACAGGATTAGAAATCAGGTTTGCATGATGTAAAGCCATGCTTTCAGAAGCATTTCTTACCTTCCATGCCGATGAGCAGCAGGTTAGAGGTCAGTTGCCCCCAGCCACGTTTTCCCTGTTGCTTATTAATCCAGTTCCAGTTAAAACCCAAGAAGTCCATGACAATCTTCCTCCCCACGGTGTCATTGAGCGTTTGCTGCAGATACAACCTATATCCCCAAGAAAAAAATCCCATCAGTATGTGAGATCAGTCCTTGGTATGACCTCTCTGTTTGGAAACTCAAATCTGTTACTACATCCCCAACAGAGAACAGCTGTAGTCATGCAAGACTTCAGCACGGTTCACAGCTGAGTTCTTTCTCCCTGTCTGAGCTCTGCTCCGCAACAAGCTCTTCAAGATGAGATTCTTAACCTTCTGGGTCACAGTACATATTACCGAAGAATTAAAGGCCTCATTTAAGAATGTGCATACACAGAGAAATTTCATACAATTTAATTTCTTGGAAGCCTATCCACACAGTCTATGATGAATCTGCCTTCTTTCGGACTCTCAAGATCTGACACAGCTCCTTTGGCCCTAGATGACCGCTGTGGCTGATTCTAACACTGTTCATACCACCAGTCCCTCCTTGTGGAAAGTTAACTCTTTGGTGCCCACATAAGACAGTCTTATTTAACTTTCTTTGACCAATGAAATGTCCACAGAGGGACTTGTGTTGCTTCCAAATATAATTTTAATACACAGTCCACGTTACCCTGTTTTTCTCTTTACTACATCCAACTGCAATTCCAGATTGTAACTACTGGGACAATTGTGTCCAAGAATCAACAAGATGATGTGACCCTAGACAAACACATACGAGAGAGAAAAATAAGGAACTTCACTGCTTTAAATCCTAACAGTTATGACAAAATTAATTAGAAATCTCAGTAACTTGGAAAAACTAGCTACAAGGAACCTTCAAAACTCTCTTACAATAAGAGGCTGGCCTTGAATTCTTGATTTTTCTGCCTCTACCTCCCGAGTGCTGTGATTACAGGCATGTATCACCATGCCTGGCTATAACATACATATTTACACAACAAAACAAAACGAGTTAGAGACACTTCCAGAAGTGAATAGAAGCAATACTCCTATGACAACTGAATAGTAAAAGCTCAACTATCTCACAGCATACATGTGGAGGGGAGAGGACAATTGGGAACTGGTTCTCTTCTTCCCCCATGCTGGTCTTGGGAAGAAACTCCAGTTAGCAGGCTTGGAACTCAGCACCTTTACCCACTAAACCACCTCACTGGCCCAGACATTTAAAATCAATTCATTAGGGACATACTGCTGACAGGAAGTCAGAAAGAGAATCAAGAGAGGACTCCAGACATGGCCATTCCAATGTAGGACAGTCACTCACTATTAAGTACTCAGCAAAAGAGATTCTCCAGGGACAATTTCACAATGTGGAACTGACTAGAACCTATATAACTGGGCTGTTCTCAGAAGTGGAGATAAAAACAAAGAGGAAGAAAGAATCACTCTCCCAAGTGATTTTTGGTCACCTGTACAAAACAAGCAATCTGTTCTGCTCATCCCAAAGCTAAAGGATCCTGAAATCCCTTAACCCCAAATCATAACAAACTACTTTACTTTTCTGTACGAACTGTCTCCAGACAGTATTCTAGAACCAAGACTGCAAACTGTCAATTTCAGGGCTAAATCCAGCAAGCAATTATTGTCTGTCTGTCTGTCTGTCTGTCTGTCTGTCTCTCTCTCTCTCTCTCTCTCTCTCTCTCTCTCTCTCTGTGTGTGTGTGTGTGTGTGTGTGTGTGTGTGTGTGTGTGTGTGTGTTTTAAAACTCGTAAGTGGGGCTGGAGAGATTGCTCAGCAGTTAAGAGCACTGAGTTCAATTCCCAGCAACTACATGGTGGCTCACAATCATCTATAATAGGATCTGATGCCCTCTTCTGGCATGCAGGCATATATGCAGAACACTTATACATAAAATATAAATAAATAAAATTAAAAAAAGAAAAAGTCAGAAGGGGCTGGAGACTAGGCTCAGCAGGTAAGAGCTCCTGCGGAGAGGACTGAGGTTCAGTTCCCAGGACCCACATGACAGTTAACAACCGTCTGCAACTCCACTTGCAGAGGTACCTTCTTCTGGCCTCCATGGGCACTGAATATACACGGTGCACAAGACATACACACAGGCAAACACACATACACGCCTTTAATCCCAACACTCAAGGCAGAGGCAGAAGGATCTTAGTGAGTTTGAGGCCAACCTGGTCTATATGGCAAGTACCAGGCCAGCCAGTTATAGAGTAAGACCCTGCCCCATCCCCTGGAACCAAACCAAAACCCGAAACAAAAAACCAACACCCATACACTGACTTCTTACTTCAAACAGGGTGTATGCCTTCAGCCTTGTTAAGACTTTCTGCCTAGACACATTCAAGCCTGCCTTTCATCTGTCTGACCCTGCAAGGTAACTGTCACTCTCACTGCCTAAGATAAGAAATTAGATTCACAGTTTAAGGCTAATGCTATTCACATCCCTCACGCTTCTACAAAGAACCACCAAGAGCTCAAAGCCCTTACAGGATAGTAGAGCAGAATATCCATCCAGTCAGTAATGGAACCCAGATGATGGCGATGCCAATCTCTTCTCACCCAATTCCACCACACCTTCAAACAAGTACAGGAACATGGATCCCCTAATTCTACTCACTGGGCAACTTACCGCTCTTCTCCCCCACGCTGCTGTATGTCCTGTAGTTTCTCAACAAACTCATGAAATTTAATTTCCTCCCTGTTGGACCTCGGCTTAAAGTTCTGGAAATTAGCCATCTTCTTTTCATCATAGTATAAGAACTTATGGGTGCTGGCACTGTACACAGAGAAATCTCCGTTGCCAATATTCTCTTGCAGGTATTCTAGGTCCCACTTCAGAGCAGGATACACAAGGTTTGTGTCGGTCAGCACCACAGGCTCCTAAGCAAAACCATCAGAAAAATCAATGAAGTAATTCCAAGGAGCTAATAATTTCTTTTCGACGGTATCCGTACTTATCAAATTCACAACATTTCTCCTGCCGAGCACTCCTGACATACCATCATCTCTCCTTCCCGCCCCATAAGTCTCAGTCCACAGCCGGGTCAGTTTCCCACCTCTCCCCGTGACTGGGTCCCTTCCTCCACCCCTTCAGCAGCAGCCCCGCCCCCCACCTCATTTTCGATGAGCTCTTCCGCCCGAGGGTCACTCTGGCTCAGACGTGGGATGGGCCGGGTCGGAAAGCTGTAACTTCGTAGCTGTGACTCATCCCAGGCGGGGCCCGGAGCTTCCGCCTCTTCCCGGGGCTCGCCAGAGCCAGAGGCCGCATCTTCGGCCGCTGTCGCCGCCATCTCTACTCTAGAGACGGCCCCACCGGAAGCAGAAGCCCCGCCCTTTCCGGAAGCAGCCACAACGGACACCATAGAGATGAACTGCAAGAGAAACCGGTCCAGACCCTTCAAGAAGGTGGGGCCCTTGGTTGAAGGCGCGCCCCCTACGGTGACCTGCAGCACTACAGTCTAGGCTCCACTCTTGGCTAATTAGTCCCTCAGAAATGGTACTAATAATTAACAAAATATTAAAAATATTAATGAGACTAACAAAATATTGCTGCCTCGGCATGCTCAAGCCTACAGAGGCAAGGAAGACGGCAAATGTAATTAAGCTTTAAACTTCGCTCTCATGGATGCAGAGAGAAGCCAACGTTAGACCCACTTAGGGAATCAGTAGAAAAATCATCACATAGATCTTGGGTAAAGCTATCCTGAAAGCTTAGGCGTATGATAAACGGCAAGCTGAATTCGTTGAGAATCAAGGGAAGACCAAGGACTTATAGTTCCAGCTACTCCAGAGGCTGAAGCAGGAAAGAAGATCACTTGAACTCAAAAGTTCAGAGACAGCCCAGGCAACATGGCAAAGCTACCATCTCTCTTTTTAAAAAAAAGTAAAGTAAAACCAAGGCAAGAATTCTTTCGTTTAGTATCACTTGAGTTTTCTGCATATGTAACCGTTTCTCCTACTTAAATCTATTCTTGCAATGAGACCAATGTTATTCAACCACAGACACCCACATTTTTAAACAGTATACACTGGTTATAAAAGACCTTATCAATTGCTTTGCTTGCTTACTAGATAGTTCTAGATTTGCACCCCATGATATATATGTCCTATTTAAGTCTCTCCTTAAATGACAGCAAGACTTGTGAACATGACAGGGTAGTGCTCCTGTAATTAGGTCACATTATATGGCAAAGACACAGGCAAAGTCCCTAACCAGTCAATTTCAAGATCATCACAATGGAGACCTCTCTTGAGTAGGGCTGACATTATCTCTCTAGCCCTTTAAATCTGGGCATGGGTCAGAAATAGAAGTCTTGGAGATTTGAAGCCAAAGCACATGCTGTCTTGTTTGCCTTGAAGGCCCATATATGCCGCGTGTCAGAGAACGAGAGGTGAATTGTTGTTTTGTTTTGTTTTGTGACAGGGTTTCTCTGTGTAACAGCCCTGGCTGTCCTGGAACTCACTCTGTAGACCAGGCTGGCCTCGAACTCACAGAGATCTGCCTACCTCTGCCTCCCGAGTGCTGGGATTAAAGGCTTGTGCCACGGCTGCCTGGCGATAGGTGAATTCTTTACAAGCTGAGGAAGACTAACAAAAAAGTGGGGAACATAGTCTTATAAATTCAAGTAGTTGAATTCTGCCAATAACTTCCATGCTTATATACAGAGCCTCAAATGACATGGGGAACTCTGATTTCAGAGTAGTGAGACCCTGAGCTGTGGACCCAACTAACTGGAATCTATACTCATGGGAAATGTGAGATAATAAGTTGGTGTTGTTTGGGCTACTAATTTTATGATTTGTTTAAAGAACACCAAAACAAAATTTAACTTAATATGCAGCAACAGAAATTAATACATTGTCTTAATTATATAATTATGCTACATAGTATTGGTGAAATTATTAAGGCCACTACACGTAGTTAAAAGGGAGGTTTATTTAGTGGCGTAACTTACAAATGAAGGGATAGGTAGGTTGCAGGGTCTGGGAAAGGTATAGCGCAGTCCAGCGGTGTTCTCTGGAGAACTCTGTTCAGTCTACCTCCAGCGTCCAGGGTCCAGGAACCGAGAGCGCCCCCCCCCCCTCCCCCCGCATTCGGAACTCGGGTCTTCCGGGTCCTCCCTCAGCCCCGCCTTGTAGGTGTGACCATTCCCGGAGCCTCAGTCGGGGTTGGAACTTCCAGGTCAAAGCTGGAATGGCTACCCACTACAACACAGAAACTATATAACCAACTGATAACAGGGTTATCTCCATGAAGGGGTTGGGCAGCAGTCAAGGTTTTATCTGCAATGTTTGAAGTTTCCAAATACATCAATTTATAGCACTGGAAATTAAAATCAGACCTGGAAGTTCATATCAATAAAATCAGGAATGAATGCAGGAACATAAAACGGACTTTACAAATATAAAAAAGAATATATAAAGTACTCTCAACAAGTGTATGTAAAAAATAGAGAATCTAGATGAAATTGAAGAATTCTTGTAAAAACACAAACTATAATAACTGATTCAAAAAGAAATAGAAAAATCTAACTGGACCCATATCAAAACTACATTAGGAAATAATTTTAAATACCATCTAAAAAAGCCTAAAACAATATGGATTCATTGATGAATCCTACCAAACACTTAAAACAGAATTAACAACAATCCTCAGGAACAGAGGAGGAGGGAAGACTTCCAAATTCATTCTATGAGGCCAGCATTACCCAGCTATCAAAATGAGATAAAGACAGGTAAAGAAAAGCAGATCAATATCCTTTATGAATACACATACAAAAGTCCCCAGCAAAACAAATCTAGTACCATATATACGGTATGCCCAAAAGGTTTAGGCACCAAAACTAAACAGAGCTTATTTTTGGAAAGCCTGGTTTATTTAACATTTGAAATGTTGATCAATGTAATCTATTAATCGAAGAAAAATATCACATGGTCATCTCAATATTCACAGTAGAACCTTTTGGCAGACTTTAACATGGTATTTTTCATGATAAAAGCAGAGTTCCCAAGGACGTCATTGAGACAGTAAGACGATAGGAATGGTGATATATCTCAGCTGGTAGAGTGCTTGCTAGCACGCACTGAGTCCTGGGTTTGCTGCCAAGCACCATACAAACTGGCTATGGTAGTGCATGACCATGACCCAGTGCTTTGGAGGTAGAGGCAGGAGAATCAGAAGTTCAAGATCATCCTCAGGTATCTATCAAGTTCTAGGGAAGCCTGGCCTATGTGAGAGTCTGCCTCAACAAGAGAAAGGTGTGTGCTACCATGGCCCAGCTACCCCTCCCGCCTTTATTTTCTCATTCTCTTTGTTATCATATCACTATATCACTAGTCATCAAAGTTAAGCAAATGAAAATGAGATACTGCTATTGTTTGTGTTGCTCTAAAAAAGTATGTATTGGAAACTTAACCTCCAATGTAAGTGCTGAGAAGTGAAGTCTAATGAGAGAGGTCCCAGGCCCCACTTTCATGAATGAGTTATCCTTATTATAAAAGGGCTTGAGGCCGGGAGTTCAAACAGTGCTTTTACATGTGCTCTCTGGCCCTTCATCACCTGCTTTTTGTCACCAAATAACATATCAGGAGACAATCACCAAGTATGGACCCATCAACCTTGGATCTCTTAGCATCCAGAACTATAAAAGATAGATCTCTGCCCTTTCTAAAAGTTCCTAGTCTCCAAACAGAGCAAGAAAGATGCCATCCATGCCCATAAGGCTGGTTTTAATGGAAAAGAAAGTAGTAAGTGTTGATGAGGACAAAAAGACACCGGGGTTTTTCACCTACTGGGGAGGAGGAGGGAGGAGGCAAAATGGTGCAGCTACTTTGAAAAACCATCTGGGAGTTTTTCAGAAAAGGAATCATACAAGACATCCGATGAGTGTGCAAATCTGTTCTTAGGACGTAATTGAGAAAATTGAAAACATACATTCAAGCTTGGTTTGGTGGTGCAGCCCTGTAATCCCAGCACTTAGAAGGCCAGGGCAGGAGGCCGTTCAGGGCTTCAGAGTGAGTTCAAGGACAGCCTGAGTTCCAGAGTGAGACCTTGCCTCAAGAAGCCAGCAAACAAGACCACAGAGCAAAACAAACTCATAAAAAAAAAAGAAAGAAAGAAAGAGAAGAAGGAAAGAAGAAAGAAAATATACTATGTATACTCACAGAAAAATTTGTACAGGAATATTTACAGTAGCATTACCCACAATAGCCCCAAAGTGGAAACAACCGATTGTTCAATAATTGATAAGTGCATAAAGTGTTGTTTATCCACACAATAGACTATCACCTAGCCATACAAATAAATAAAATATTAATACATATTGCAATGTATTCACATTATGTGAAAGAAGATAGACATAAAGGCCACATATTGTATACTTGCTTTTCTATACATATACAGATTAGGCAAAAGCCTAGAAACAGACAGTAGGTTAGTGGTTGCTAATGTGTAGAAGTAGAGGAATATGCTAATTGGTAGGAGATTTTGTTGGGGGAATGATGAAACAGTTTATTATTAGACAAAAATGATGGTTACACACCTTTGTAATGTACATTAAGAAATCATTATACACATTTTTTTTTTTTTTTGAGACAGTCTCACATAGCCCAGACTTGCCTTAAACTCCTTTTGTTGCTCAGGCTGGCTTTGAACTCCTGATTTTTCTGCCTTCACTTCTCAAGTGTTGACATTACCAAAGGCATACACCATCATTTGAGGCTTGTTGTGTTCTTTAAAAGAGTATATTGTGGGGCTGGAGTGATGTCTCAGAGGTCAAGAATATTGGCTGCTCTTCCAGATAACCGAGGACCCAGGACCAGTGTTCAATTCCCAGCCTCGCAGGAGGGCCAACAATCCGCTGTAAGTCTGGATCCCTTCTAGTCCAGTTCCAGGGGGTCTGGTGCCCTCTTGGGCCTCCTCCAGCACTTTGTGCATGTGGCGCACAGATACACATGGAGGCAAAGCACCCAAACACATCATTTTCTTTTAAAAAAGAATAAATTATTTTGTATATAAATGATATTAGACCTACTTTGTTTCTTGAACCACATGAGATCAGGGCTTGCTATGAGTTAAATGCAGATGTTGTCAAATTAATTCTGATGATGTCTAGCAATTCTGCAAGGGGACAAAATGCACTGCAGTAATCCTTCCCAAATTTACACATTGAAGACGACACGTCTGTGTTTGCTGCTCTGGTATACATTAAGAAAGGATTCTATTCTAGTGATTTTTGTCCTAAGAACAAAATATGTGCATATGTAAAATATCCACCCCCTACTTGTGTAAGTAAAATGAAAACTTAATAGTATGCAAACATGTCTCCCAGTCGACCGTGTTAGACTTTGTTAATTGTGTTCGGTTTGAAATCTATTTTTCCTGGCAAATGGGAGGTTTGGGGCAGTGTCAAGGGAGCCCCCTCTGGTAATAGGCTTGGCTTTCTATTTGTTGGGTTGAGGTGACCGGGACGTTTAGATGGATTGAGACTAAGGAGCTAACTCCGAGCATCTAAGGAAAGGGGTCAACCAATTTGGAGAAAGGATCAAACAAAACCAAGAGCTAAATTTGGAGAAACGACTACGTGTGAGGACGGAAGGTGGAAACGTCGATGGGGCGGGGGTGGGGGTGGGAGAGGCAAGCAACTTGAGGAAAGAGTAAGCTGATTTTACTTTGGTCAGTTGTCTGAGACGTTCGGTGGGAACACCCCTGAAAGAGCCTCAGGCAGCTGAAGGCGAAAAGGAAAATAAGAAGTAACTTTGTTTTCTCTCCTTCCTGCCGTCCGCTCACCGCCTAGGATCTACAGCGTATTTAAAGCCCGCCCAGCTTGACCCCGGAGACCTCTGCGCCGGCTTCAGCGGTCGCGTTTGGCCCAGCTCAGCCACCGTGACTCGCCTTTGCGCATGTGCAGGGCGAACGGCAGAGAAGGTGAAGATGGCGGCGGCCGGGGCTGCGGCCCTGGGAGTCCGGTGGCTGCAAAGGGCAGCCCGCGGCGTGGTGCCACTGGAGGCACGGAGAGGTCCGCAAGAACGCGCGAGAGGCGGGTGTGGGAAGGGGGTGTCTGACGTTTGCGGTTTCGGGAGGGGGCGTCCTCGGTACAGTGGCGGCGGTGTCCCGGCAGGGGGGCAGGTGAATTAGTGTGTCGGGGAAAGGGGATGGAGGGTTACCGTAGTTCGGCCTAGTGCGGAACTCCGACCTCTGCAGTCATTGCGGCTTAGTGCCTTCTGGGTGGCTAGAGAACCGCGTCCATCTGACCTGCATCCCTCTGCGTCCAGCCTTCCATATGACCAAGGACATGCTGCCGGGGCAGTATCCTAGGACTCCAGAAGAGCGGGCCGCGGCCGCCAAGAAGTATAACATGCGCGTGGAAGACTACGAGCCGTACCCGGATGAAGGCATGGGGTGAGGTGGGGGGTCTGCTCGCCTTAGGGGCAGTGATGGATGAAGACCGTTGGATCGGGGCGGGGGGGGCGGGGTGCGACTCTGACGTTTTCTCTCGAACCTTGTGACCCTGTCAGAGTCTATGGTGTGGGTGCTTTTCTTGGTGCGGGGGAGGTGGGAGTGGGTGAGTGAGCAGCTGCAGCCGAGAGGACTTCAATTTTTTCCTTGGCTCAAGCTGTTTCCTCAAATGAGGGAGCCGAGGTTTTAATGGCTCCCTCGAGGACTCCAGAATAGCAAAATTCTTCCTTGGCTCCATCCAGAGTACTGGGCTTCATTAAATTGAGCATCTGCCGGGTTCAGGTGCTGTCATCTAGGCACGTGACCAGGCTGGAGCTGCACCCCTGTCACGAGAACCTTAATCGTGGATGGTGTGTACTCCGTATTTGTATATGTCTCTTCAAAAATTTGTCTCTCCCTCACCCCCCCTTTTTTTGACGTTAGAGACGTGAAAAGCGCATCAACTGTTCAGCAAATTAAATGCCAGCCTTCCTTCTCCTTTTGGTGTTAGTTCCTTCTGCCCCTGTATCCATTCATTCCACGGTGAATGATGTATAGTAATTAAACATCACCCTCACTTCCTGTGTTAGAATTTCTCCTTCCAGCACCTCTTGTTCTTGTTTCCCAGTCAGTTTCTCTGACATTCTTTGACAGTTACTATCATTTTCTATGTTTTTTTTACTGTGTTATGGACAGGGTAGTAGTCTGTATAAGGGGAACTTGGATTTGTTGGGGGAGAACCCAGCTACTAAGCAAGACCTCCCATGAGGCGTTTGAAGCATGAGGGTGTATATCAACTTGTGGTTAAGAAACACAGTAGTTATGGAGGGGGAAAAAAGCCTTTTTTAATGTGTACCTTTTTTTGTTTCTATTCCAGCAAATGTGGATGGCTTTGTAGTTGGAGCCTGTCTGATGAAGGAATGGAATAATTGATTGCTAAAATTCCCTTTTAGTCCTAATTATAGAGTTGTGTGACTTTTCTGTGTAAAAGAAGATAAGGCCATGTTGTTTCAGGATTTAACATAACCTCTAACTATAGTTTGAACTTTTTTTTTGTTCTTTTATTAGTACTAGAACCTGAGATCTTGATTTGGGGTAGGTTCTTCTATCCTTAAGTAGTTATATCTGTCTCTTTGTTTCTCATCTTTGAGATGAGGGCGCTGAATTGTCAGCCACTGCTCACAGTCCTTTCCAGAAGTTCTTGCTGTCTGTCTCTCAGGTACGGTGACTACCCGAAGCTCCCTGATCGCTCACAGCAGGAGAGGGATCCATGGTATGAATGGGATCACTCAGAACTGAGGTTGAACTGGGGCGAAGCGGTGAGAAAACCATGCTCATTTCACTTCTCTCAGTTTCCTTATGTTTTCCTGGGATTCTCTTTAGTTCACGTAGTACTTTTTTGCTAAGCTTTTCTGCTCAAGGAAGCAATGTCTAGTGATGTGAGACCTGCAGTTCTCCATGTGGCACACGGGACGGACCTTATAGGAATATCCAGAGTCCTGTGGACTGTGAACTTTGTGTGTGTCATGCTTGAGCTACCTTTGATCAAGCTGCCATTCATCTTTGCTGGCCCTGTGAGTCTTGGGCCTGGCTCTCAGAGTATTGCCCCCAGGAAGTGGAATGGTTCTGTTAAGCCTTGTATCAGGCTCTGGCCATTCTAGATTGCCTGTTGTCTTAGGGTTTCTATTGCTATGATGAAACACCATGACCAAAAAGCAAGTTGGAAAGGAAAGGGTTTATTTGGCTTATACTTCCTCAGCACTGTTCATCATTGAAGTAAGTCAGGACCTCAAACAGGGCAGGATCCTGGAGGCAGGAGCTAATGCAGAGGCCATGGAGGGGTGCTGCTTACTGGCTTGCTCAGCCTGCTTTCTTATAGAACCCAGGACCACCAGCCCAGGGATGGCACCACCCACAATGGACTGGGCCCTCCCCCATCAATCACTAATTAATAAAATGCTTTACAGCTGGGTCTTATGGAGGCATTTTCTCAATTGAGGTTCTCTTCTTTCAGATGATTCCAGGTTGTGTCAGGTTGACATAAGACTAGCCAGCACACCTGTCTTTTGCAGGAAGAGCAGTTTGTGACAGTTATATGCCTTTCTGCCACAGATGCACTGGGACCTAGACATGTATATCAGGAATCGTGTGGATACATCCCCTACACCTGTTTCTTGGGATGTCATGTGTAAACATCTCTTCGGCTTCATAGCTTTCATGGTTTTCATGTTCTGGGTTGGAGAGACTTTCCCCTCCTACCAGCCTGTGGTGAGTATTTTATGTGTTCCCCAAAGGATGTCTGCTTTGCCTCCTTTCCTGAGAGAGTGAAGTCTCTGGAGTAGGAAACTAGCCAATACCAAGTTTGGCTTCCTAGAGTTTTAGAAAATAGGAAAATGAAGGGCCTTATCAAGCAGCCCAGCACAGTCGTCAGAGCATTGCTCTACCTCTACCTTGTGGACCAGTCTAATTGAAAAGACAGACTTTAGCATTAAATAGTGGAGGAGAATGTGGAAGCTAATCTTCAGAGTTTCCATTTGAGGATGGTAGTTACCAGTTATAATTTAGTGAACGGCCTTTCAAGGCAGAGTCAAAGAATCTAGAGCTGAAACCTTATCCTGTACTGGACACATGAAGGGCACTCTCTGCAGAGTAAATAGTTGTCCATGGTAAGCATAGACAATTATATTCCAAAGAATTCGGAGGACATAGAAAATACACTTTGTAGCTTAAAGGAAGTTTTAAGAAATTTTAGAGAAACGACATAATGAGCATCATTTGAACACGTTGTGAGAGCCTGGCGTGGTTTGTCTGTGTATGCCTATAGTCAATGCCCAGAGCAGGAGGGGCTGCTGTGAGGGAGTAGGATTGAAACCAGAGGCTAAAAGGAAGGGTTTGGGTGGTGGGAAGTCAGAACGGTAGGAGGGAGGGTTTGGGTGGTGGGAAGTCAGAACAGGAGGAGGGAGGGTTTGGGTGGTGGGAAGTCAGGACAGTAGGAGGGAGGGTTTGGGTGGTGGGAAGTCAGAACGGTAGGAGAGGAGGGTTTGGGTGGTGGGAAGTCAGAACAGGAGGAGAGGAGGGTTTGGGTGGTGGGAAGTCAGAACAGGAGGAGAGGAGGGTTTGGGTGGTGGGAAGTCAGAACAGGAGGAGAGGAGGGTTTGGGTGGTGGGAAGTCAGAACAGTAGGAGAGGAGGGCCGGTAAGTCAGGCCAGTGAGAGGCTCAGTGGGGAACGCACTTGCTGTCAACCCTGTTGACCTGAGTTGAGTCCCTGGGACCCCGTGGGTAAGGGAGAGGACTGGCTCCTGTGAGTTGCCCTCTGACTTCTGCATGAGTGCCATGGCGAGAGTGTGCCCACACACTTGGATAGTCAAGAAGTAGATGTCATTTTAAAATATTCAAAAATTTAAAGTGGTCATTAAAAAAAATAGTTCCTAGCCGGGCGGTGGTGGTGCACGCCTTTAGTCCCAGCACTCGGGAGGCAGAGCCAGGCGAATTTCTTCATTCGAGGCCAGCCTGGTCTACAGAGCAAGATCCAGGACAGGCACCAAAACTACACAGAGAAACCCTGTCTTGGGGGGAAAAATAGTTCCTAGATAACCAGCTAGGGACTGAGTTTCCTAGAGAACTACAGTATATTCATATTCCTCAGGCCTGGTCCTTGTAAGTCCTAATTCTATGGCTCCACAATAGGGTTCTAGAATCAATATTTTCAGCAATCTCTAGGTAGTTATAAAAGACATTTAGAATTGAAGATCACTATATTAAAAAACACTGTGAGGTGAATTGATTAGTTCCATTGAGCAGCTTTTATTGCATATCTGAGGATTTGAACTTGATGGCATAGTGGTCTATTAATTGAGCAAATATTTATAAACCTCTACTATGTACCAGATGTAGACTGTGCCAGGGGATGGGATGCAGGAATGTCTTGGGCTGCCTCTAGTACCAGGGAGCCATTTTTGTTTTTGACTAAAAGACGGACATGATGAGGGCCAGGTTCTCAGGAAGATTTATCTGGGAGTAGTCTCCAGGGTGTGTTGGAAAGAGAGCCGCAGGCAGGGAAGCTGCAGTGTTTGCAGTCGGGTGCCCAGTGCTCCCTCCGCAGAGAAAATGTCCTGAAGGTAGCTGGGACGGCCGTGTGCACTGACACCAGCCTTCTTGCCAAGCCCCAGGGACTCTCTGCTGAGAGCATGTGGGGCTGTGGTGAGCACTAAGTTCACTTCAGGAGAGCGAGGCACAGTGTGGCTCTTCCGTTTTTCAGTTCTGTAAGCACATCACCCTCTTCTCCTCCCTTTGAGCTATGTTCTCTGGCGGCTGTTTGCTGGTGACGCCTGCGTTCCTGAAGCATGTCCCAGCCGTATCTCCTCCGCTTCCCCCACCACTGCTCCTGCACGCCTCATTTGCTAGGCCACTTCAGTGGTGAAACCATTAGAGGCTGAGTGACTTACAGGAGATTGAGTCTGTCTCGACCCCGAGAGAGAATAGGATGGATGGATGCATCGTCTCATTTAGAAAGCTTTGGCTTGGACGTTCCCCCTTCCCCACCTCACTTGCAGGGCAGGTACCACTTCCCTTACAATTGAGGCTTTCCTGCTTTGGCTCGGGCAGGGGCAAGGGGCGTTGCTTCTGCCCCTTTAGCTCAGCTGGGTCTGAGCAGAGGCTACTGTATACCCATTTGCTCTGCATCATGGTTAACTAGAGTAGGGTGGAGTCAGGTATTGGAGGCTGGCTGTTGATCTTGCTGACCTGTGTGGGTTTTGTTTTTGTTTTCTTCCTTAGGGGCCGAAGCAGTACCCTTACAACAACCTGTACCTGGAGAAAGGCGGTGATCCTACCAAAGAATGTGAGCCGGTGGTTCACTATGAGATCTGAGGAGGCTTCACGGGCTTTTGTGCTCTCTAACTAGGACTCCCTCATTCCTCGAGGTGTAACCTTAATGGAATCCTAATAAAGCTCAGTGCCGCAGTTCCTGTGCCTCATTTCCCCAGGACTAGTCACTGCTGTGAGAGCTGTGAGAGCCTTACCTTTGTGCTTCCCTCTGCCTGCTGCCCACCGGCTCTGAGATCGGAGGGCCAGGAGGGCCGGGTAGGACTGGAGGTCAGAAGACGGTAGTGCTTTCCACGGGGCTCTGAAGGTGCTTGAGAGCTGTAGGTTGTACAGCAGGTGGGGAGGGCCAAAGAAGGACGGACTTCCCAGCTTGGAACAGTATTTCCTTCAAAAACCACGTTTGTGGAGCACACCCATAATGTAGGCAGCTGAGGCAGGATTATGCAAGTTTGAGGCCAGCCTGGGTACATAGTAAGGCTATAAAAATCAAAACAACCTGAACCTTTTAATTAACAGTTGTTACGTTTAAAAGATGTGTGGTGCATGCCTCTCACCCCAGCACTCTGGAGGCTGAGGCAGGAGGATCTCTATGAGTTCAGGACTGATCAAGGCTGTGTAGTGAGTGTGAGGCTATCCTGAACTGTTTGGTAAGACTGTTTATTTAAACTCTTCAATAATAATTAGGTTTTAAAAGAAAGGAATATGTTTCAAGTATATGATGGGATAGCGGGGGAAGTGCTGCCCTAAAGCTGGGACATTTCTGCAGTCCTCTCAAAGCGAGATTTCTGAAACAGCTTCTTAGTAGATTAACATTGCCTATACTGTGGATTAAGGGATGTATCCAAGCTCCTGTGACAGCCTTAGAAAAAAGCCATGGTTTTGATAGTCTATCATAATTCATCTCTATTTTCTTAAAAATTTTTAAAGCATGCCTTGTCAACCACAGATAAAAATTATATGAAGATATCACCAAAGACTATGCAAGCGATGTTACTGAGAACTACTCCAACACTGACTTCTAGATGTCTTGTTTGGAAGTGGCACAGTCGAAAGTTCTCAGATCTACAGTGATTGGTCACATGACTTTAATCCCAGCACTCAGGAGGCAGAAGCAGGCAGATCTCTTGAGCTCTAGGCTGGCCAGGGCTACATAGTGAGATGCTGTCTCAAGAACTTAAAGTGGGGGAAAGATGGCTTAATGTTTAAGAGCACTGGCTCCTCTTCCAGAGGACCTGGGTTCAATTCCCAGAACCCATATGGTGGTTCACAGCTGTCTGTAACTCAGTCCCAGGGGATCCCACACTATCTTCTGTCTTCCAGGGACACTACATATGGTACGAAGACATTCAGGTAAACACTCATTTAAAAAATGAAACAAAACAAAAAGCTGGATGTGCTGGCACATGCTTTTACTCCAAGCACATGGAGACCAGAGGCAGGTGGATCTCTGAGTTGGAGGCTCACGTTGTCTATGTAGTGAGTTTCAGGCCAACCAAGGCTACATAGTAAGACCCTGTCTCAAAAAAACAAAACACAAAATTAAAAAAATTAAATAGTGATCAGATTGAAGTTTATAAGGAAGCAATAACAGTCATCAGGGTGGTCATTGAATAATCTACAACGTAACCACATTTGCAGTCTTAGGGACTAAGCAGTAAGGCCCATGGCAAGTAGATCTGACTTAGGGACTAAGCAGTAAGGCCCATGGCAAATAGGTAATATGGGCTTCCAAGGCAACCCAAGCATGTCTGTTAAACTTCAAGGAGGCTAAGAATTAGCAGAAGGGAAATATGGTGGTTCGTGCTTGAAACTCCAGCAAATAAATGCTATAAGTATCATCTCTGGGTTTTATAAAACTACAGTGTGTTAGGAGGGACATCCAAAGATGAACTGAGTACACTGCCCATCAGAGTTCTCCCAGTGACAGTGACGCCCCTGTGTCAATGCAACAAACATTCTGTGTTTAGGGTTTTGTCTTTTTGACAGGGCCTTACTATGTAGCCCTGGCTGAGATTAAAAGAATATTTTCCTAATTGTACTTCACTTGGAAACCTGACCCATAAGAAAGCATGTACAAGTCTGTGTACAACCAGAAGATGGCATTGGATACTTGGGACTAGAGACAGAAAGTTGGAAGCTGCAGTGTGGGTGCTGGTAATTGAAACTTATGACTTCAGATTTCTTTTGTAGTACTCCATCAGTGTGGTTAATATTTCTGCATTATTCCCTAATTTTAGGGTATTGGTCAAGGTTCAGTGTGTGTGTGTGTGTGAGTGTGAGTGAGAGAGACAGGGTCTCATGTAGTCCGGGTGGCCTTGAGCTTGCTGTGTAGATGAAGAGGACTTGAACTTTGATCCTTCTGCCTCTCCCTTCTGAGTACTGGGATTACAAGGTAGCCACCACCATAACTGGTTTCTGTGGTGCTGGGAAATAAAACCAGGGTTCCAAGTGTATGAGGTAAGCAGCCCTGTACCAGCTGATCCACATCCCCAGCCCCTAAGGTTCAGTCAGCCATTGGCCTTGTTCATTCCCTGACTCCACCACAATCTACCTGTTTCTGTGCTAGGACATCAAAAATGTATGTTTAAATGCTTAGTATGTAACAAGAATGGTCCCGGCACATCTTTGCCGGATGTGGGTTTTAGCCTGCTCTCAGAACTACTGAGTCTGTCATTAGATAATGAGCACCCCAGGTTCAGAGGTAAGTCAGGTAGGGGTTACCATACAATTCATGAATCAAGTGAACTTTCGAATCAACTTACTTGGTTATCTTCACCTGCCACAGTTCCCTCAACTTGAAAAGCATATGTGATATCTTCACGTTCTCTTTCCTCTTCCTCCAGAACTCTAGCTCTGTTAACAGTGCTACAGTCACCCTGACTCTACACCAGTGGTTCTCAACCTTCCTGATGCTACAACCCTATAATACGTTCCTCATGTTGGGGTGACCCCCAACCATAACTATTTTCATTGCTGGTTCATAACTGTAATTTTGCTACAGTTATGAATCAATGTAAACATCTGTGTTTTCTGATGGCCTTAGGTGACCCCTGTGAAGGGGTCCTTCGGCCGAGCTTGAGAACTAAGCCTCAGCAGTCTTGTATCCTTACCTCTGTCAGTCAGGGGAGCCTGTGGAGCTTTCCTTCAGTCACCACTATTAATCCAGGCTTTCTTCCCTGGTCCCTGGGCTGTTCTATTCCTCTTGTAATTGGATCTCTGCTTCCAGCTCTTCTCTCTCCAAGGGGATTCATACTGCCCAGATGCAAAATGCAATCGTCACTTGTGCCACTGGTCCAAAATTTTCAGTAATTCCCTCTTAACCGCATAATTAGATGGTATCCCACAATCTATCGGCACCCATTCTCGCCCAGTCTCTTTGATTTATGGCATGGAAAATGCCAGGACGCCTAGCCACTTTGCCCCCTTTTGTTGATATCACCTAGTGCCCTTTCAGCTCCAAGGAGTAATGGCCGTGCGCCTGAAGTGTGCCTGACATCTTCCATGAAAGCCCCTGGTCAACAGTCGTCTCTCCTTCCACGCACAGCCCTTCATCAGTTTGTGGACACCGCTACTGGTGGGCTTCAGTGTGTATCACTGCTATTTACAGCTTCGATTGCTTTTTATCTTTTTTAGCTAAATGGATCACACCGAGAGCTCGTGGGCTAAGGGCCCGGTCTTCCTTCGCTTTAATAACTACACAAAAAATAGAAATAGTGTTTTCCATACATAGGCTATCCATGGAGCCTGGCTCAAACAGAATGGACTAGAATAGATTAGATCTTGGGCGCCAGAACTGTGCAATCACAGGGCAAGTGAGGATAGCCCTGCTGGGAAACCTCTGCACTGTCGGTGCTTACTCGCGTTACCAAGCTTCTAGGAGCGAGTGGAGGGAGCGGGTCGCGGGTCGCTGCCAAATCAAGTGTTCTTTTGGCCCTTGGCAGCCGCCGTCCGCAGTGCGATGCGTCCTAAAGCCCTTCGCTTGGACATGACCCATAACCCGGGCGCTGGGCACAGGTGGGTTTCCCCCGTGGGTCGGGTCCGGGGCCCCGGGGCACCGCTCTTCCCGCGGATGTCAACGGGGAGCTCGCCAGTCGCCGAGTCCCCGCCCGGGCCGCCGCGCCTCTGGAGCACCCAGAACGAACCCCTCCGACTGGACCCCGTCCCGCTCCCCGTGCCACGCCGGGTCCCCAGGCCCTCCAAGGTCCAAAAGCGCTGCGGGCGCCTGCTCCTCCACCCCGGCCCTGACCCGGCCCGGCCGGAGCCCTGGCCATTCCTAACTAACTGACCGTGGAGTGCCTCCTAGGGCAGTCGGCGGGCCAGAAGCTGTGTTGACCTTTCCCTAGGGACCGGACTGCCAAAGGTAGCTGGCGCCCAGGTCGTGGTTTCCCGACCCCATCCCACCCGTCCACTGCCCCAGCCGTTCTGACCCTAGCGGGAGCTTTTTAGAAACTGATGCCTCAGAGCAAACTGTATGGAAAGCGGATTTTCCCTGTTCCTTCAGTCAGTGGTTTAAGCATGTCATGGCTAAAAGCACGGGGTTTACATTGCGGCTTAGCTGGTTGTTTTCTGTGCAGAATGAGGATAACAGTTTATAGAACTCTGGAGGGAAACTAATGAGTTGTACCTGTCAAATGCGCTGTTGGTGATCGCTGCTCTTCTGTACCGGATGGCTCTGACCAGCAGGCGGCACTGGTGACGAAATGGTATGGTTTGCTGGTCAAAAGACAAGAGAAGCAGAACTTCAAGTGTTTAGAAGTTCCCAGAAAAATCTTAGCTTAACTGACAACTTTAAGCTTTCTTCAAGCTGGAAAGAACAGTAGAGATTAAGTAATATTATCTCCTGTTTTTAATAGGTGATCTGCCCTGACTGGCTTGCTCAAGCAGATCACAGTAGGCTCTAAGTTCCCCCCTTTACCTTTTTGCCCTTTTGAGAGCCTGTGAGGATGAGACCCTGAATGTACATTAGAAGTGGAAATCCCAGAGTTAAATGAATGCGGTGTGGTGGTTCACACCTGTAATCCCAGCACTTGAGAATTAGAGGCAAGAGAATCAATACTTCAAGATTATTCTCAGGTACATAGCAAGTTTGAAGCTAGTCTGGGTTATGGGAAACCATGCCCCACACCAAAGGAAAGAAACAGGAAAGGAAAGACGGCTCTGTGGGTAGGAGCAGCAGCATACCGTTCTTACAAGAGGATTAGGGGTGGGTTCCCAACACCCACACAGTAGCTCACAATTGTGTAACTCCTGTTCCAGGGGATCCAACACTCTCTTCTGACCTCTGAAGGCATTAGGTACCCATGTGGTGCACACAGACATACATGCAGGCAAAACACTCATATACATGAAATAAACATAAATATTTAAAAGATGACACAAAACAAAAATGAAATGAGTATTTACATTCATTCGCTCACTCATTCATTCATTCATGAGATACCAAGCACTTACTCTGTATTGATCATAGGTTTGAGCAGTAGTTAGAATACAATGAGACATGATGCTGGCTTTTATGAAGCTTACCTATTAGTGGAAGAGACTGACAACGTGGCTGTAAATAAATAAATTGTTAGAAAGAGAACAAGTGAGATTGTTTGGGGTTGGGCAGGTCACCTCTGAAGATACTAGATACTCACCCAGAAAGATTTATAAAAAGCTAGCTATGCATAGGGCAAAGGAAGAACATTAGTATATGGGAAGCAGGATTTGCAAAGACTCCAGTGTAGGCAGAGGCGATGAGATGAAAAAAGACTTGTGTGGCTGGGGTACAATGCCTAGGAGGAAAACCAGGAAGATGTAGCAGTGAGCTGAAGCCTGAGGTTTAGTCTCCATGTGCTAGGTCACTTATTTCATGATGGAATGTCAATATCCTATTTTTTGAGTTCAGTGCTTCTTCGATGTGGAAAATGAATTAGATGATGCCATGGGTAGCAAGGAGAGTATCATTTGGAGACTTTTGTAGTAATATGGGTGAGAGACTATGGTACCTTCAAATAGGCTAGTGGCATTGGCTGTAGAAAAAGGACATTAAAACCAGGGAGATGAAATGATGGATTAGAAATGGGAGGAGAGACCAAGGGTGATTTTCAGGTTTCTGGGCTGAGAGCTTGGGTAGGTAAAATACCATTTATCACGACGAAGAAAGCTGAATGAAGAACAGAGGATTGTGGAGGGATGTAGTAGGACAGACAATTCTGTTGTAGCTAGACTACCTTAGGTGTCTTTGCTGTATTTGTGAGTGTATTTTTTTAGATAAGGTCTTACTATATATGTCACTCAAGCTTGCCTGAATTTATGATCCTAATGCCTCAGCCCCTTGAGTGCTGGGATTATAGATGTGCATCACAAGTAGAAATGTTTAATTAGCAGTTTAATATAGAAATCGGTGCTCCAAGGACAAATGTATGCAGTAACATAAATATGGGGTTCATTGGCTCATAAACAATATTTAAAGCCATGGAAATCAGGCAAAGTCATTGAGAAATTAGCTAGTTTGGTGGCTGTTCCCATTAGGCCTGTGGTAACTAGTGTGATTAAACCTTGGGAGTTTAGAGAATTCAGTTTTAGCAATTGTATAAATAAATGAACTGCCCTTAACTCCACAGATGATCTGGTTTTTCTCATTCTGCATTTGTTGAAATACTTCATCTTGTGGAGAAGAGAGACAATAACTGTGTCTGCAGATGCTTCCTGGATCTCTGGCCCTAAGATCTTTGGTCTCTATTTTCAGTGAGCCAAGAGCCTTATATGTTTTCTGCAACCTTCAGAACAGACCATGAAGTTGAAGGAACTTGAGAGGCCAGCCGTCCAAACATGGAGCCCAGCCAGCCAATACCCTGTGTATCTGGCCACAGGTATCATGATAATTTGGATTAGGAGCTGCTGGAAGTTGTATGTCAAAGGAAAACTTAGTATCTAGGCCACTTTAATGAACAGGAGAGGAAGCTGTAGGGTTGTCAGGTGGGGTCCCTGGTAACCACATTGGACCGTGGCTTACGGATGACCTCTCATGCTTTCCTTGGGGTTAGCTCTTGAGGAAGGCGATCCTAACTCTCTCCTGTTGTTTGCTTTCTACTCCCTGCCGTATTCACGAACTAAATCCACACATATACTGTTCATTTGCTGCCTCTTCCTTTCTTTTCTTGTGACTAGGAACATCTGCCCAGCAACTAGATGCTTCGTTTAGCACAAATGCCACACTGGAAATATTTGAGGTTGATTTCAGGGACTCTTCTCTGGACTTGAAACACAAAGGAATTCTTTCTGTCTCAAGCAGGTACTATGATGGGACTTTCATGGTGAGTGGGTTTTCCGGTCAGACCCTGATGAATATACTAATAGAGGTCCTGGGGGTGGTGTGTACAACTCAGGGATCACAGTGCGGTAAGTCTGGGGAAAAGGAGTTCTGTTAAGTCTCAGAGGAGCTAATTCTGTGCAAAAGGATTTGAAAACCAACCATTTTCACCTTACCAGTCAGCAGCAGCAACAGCAACATCAGGCAGGATGCAGGTAATAAAGCTGCCCTGCACAAGCCAGGACATGCGCACCAGGTCTCTCTTTGAACCCAGGGCTATTGACTCCTTCCTCCCTTGGCTTTTGTTCAAACATCAACGTTACACAATGTCACACTCTTCTGCCAACAAGGAGGAGAGTGAGTGATCTCTCCTCATGGCTCATGGGTGCTGGTTGGGCACTCAGAGTTTTCCTGGCTCTGGCCAGCTGGATGCTCATGGATTTCTTGGGTATATTGTGTAACGGCCATGAAAGGAGGGTCATTCACCCTTTATTGGCAGGAATGTCTACAAGAAGTCCTTGTAGAGCTCAGTATACAAGGCAGTATCATTGGGACCTTGTATGTTTTACTCATTCCTCAGAATAAGCCTAAATTATAAATTCCATTATTTCCATTTTACATGGGTAATGGAAGCCCCAAGAAGCTGGGCTTGGCATTGAAGTATGTTCCTATCTGATGCTAAGTCTGCTTCCTTCTGTTATTTCACTGCTTTTGTTTTCTAGACAAGGTCTTGCTAAGACTGGCTTTGAACTCATAATCTTCTCAACTCAACCTCCTGGGTAGCTAGTGTTACAGGTGTGTGCCATTGTACCTGGCTCTCCACTGCCTTTTTAAGGGTTTTGTGAAGATTGTGCTTGTAGTCTGATATAATAGTCTGTAAGTTTTTATACCATCAGAAAAAAATGTGAATATTCATTATAGTCTACTTCATATTTAATATAAGTAATATACATATATTACCATACTACTGTATATATCTATCTATATATATATAGTCTTTTTCTTACAGCCCAGTAAATTTTCTTGCCTACTCTAATTTAGAGATTTCCGGTCTTGAAGGCAACCTTCCATCTGATTACTGATGGGCCCCTATTCTTTCTTTGCTTCTGCTAGTCTATCTTGTGCATGCTCTCATGGAAAGCACAGTTGTGTTGGGTTGTGCCTAGCTGTGATGCTAATTAAACTGTGTCATTTTAGAAAGTTACATTGATTGCCTTGAATTTTCTCACTTAATTTTGAAGAAGAGGTCATACAAGATGATGCTAAGAACCTACTGAGACATGCATCCAGATCTTACACGCAATCTCTCCCAACTTTCTCTGTGGGAGTTTTCCTTTCCCTTTTATCCCTTAAAACTTCCTGGGGGTTGTCAGGGTGGCTCATCAGGAAAAGATGCTTGCTGCAAAAACCTGGCAACTGGAGTTCAGTCCCCAGAACTTCATGAAGAGCTCCCACCATGCAGGTGGAAGGAGAGAACTAAGTCCTTAGAGTTGCCCTCTGACTTCCACATGAGTGCTGTAGCACATGTATCACACATATGCCACACACAAACACAATATTAATAATACAAATTTAAAAAAATCCCTCTGTGGTGGTTTGAATGAAAATGGCCCCATAAGCTCATAGGGAGTGGCACTATTAGGCAGTGTAGCCTTGTTGGAGTAGGTGTGACTTTGTTGGAGGAAATGTGTCACTGGGGGTGGGCTTTGAGGTTTCAAATGGTCAAGCCAGGCCCAGTGTCACTCTCTCTTCCTGCTGCTTGCTGATCCAGTTGTAGGACTCTCAGCTACCTCTCCAGCTTCATGTCTTCCTGTATGCCACCATGCTTCCCACCATGATGATAATGAACTAAACCTCTGCACTATAAACCAGCCCCAGTTAAATGTTTTCTTTATAAGAGTTGCCAAGGTCATGGCATCTCTCCACAGCAAAAGAATACTGACTAAGACACACCCAGTCCTTTCTCTTTTACCTTTTCCTATTAGCAGGACATATTCTTCCAAAATCTCTCTTCCTCTGCCTGCTTTTTTTCTTCACACCCTCAGTCAGATTGGGCCCTGAAGCTGCCCCCCTTTCCCTCAATTTATGATGCCTCTGAGAAATATTCCCTATTTAGAAACATCTGATGGAAAGCAATGTTCTGAAGTACCTATGAAGGTATCAATAAGGGCCAGCTTAAGCTGTAGATTGATTGAAGAGACATCATGGGCAAAAGTTGTGGAATATTACTTTAACTATGTAAAGGTGTGTTTCATTTGTTTCACCTTGCCTGCCTAAGGCACCCAATTGGTCTAATAAAAAGCTGAATAACCAATAGCTATGCAGGAAGAGGGGTAGACAGGGCTCGTGGGCAGAGAGAATAAGTAGGAGGAGGAATCTAGGAGAGAGACACACACAGAGTAGGACATACAGAATGAAAGAAAGGTAAAAAGCCCCAAGGCAAAACATAGATGAAGAGGAACAGGCTAAATTAAGTTAAAAAAAAAAAGCTAGCCAGAAACAAGCATACGCTAAGGCCGAGCATTCATAACTAATAAGAAATCTCAGTGTCATGATTTGGGAGCTGGTTGGTGACCCAAAAGAAAGCCTGCTCTAGGTAAAGGCTACCTGGTGCAAGCAGGGTCAGTGTAGATCAGCATGTGCACTGAAGAAGCCATGTGTGGTTGTTATACAAATATCACCATGGAAGAAGGGTTTGGGGGAGAATCTTCTTGGGCTATGGCAGAAGGAGGCTGGAGGTCTGCTGCTCTATTCCTTCAGTTTACATTGAGACTCCAGATCTCTGAATATCTGCAGAATCTCTGTAGGACCCCGTCCTGTAACAACATAGGGGAAAGTGGGTGGTTTATCTGCTCTGAACCTTTATCTCAGTTCTCTGGATACTTGGAGAACAAGGTTTAAAGTGATAAATCCATGGAGTCTGCTCAAAGGGCAAAGGGATTATTAAGAAAGGAAAACTCACAAGATAGAACAGAGGAATTATCGAAGGGTCCTGGAAAAGGTGAGGCATGGTCCCATGCTGTTCTTCCGTCTGAGACTGTTCCATGAGGGAGTGAAGAGAGCAGCCTACAGTGTGTCTCAAGTCTTAAGAGTAGCCCTGAGCCATGCCCCAGGGGCAGGCACTTAGGGCAGTTACCTGCTACATCTCTCAGGATGGTGCTTCAAGGTCATAGACAGAACATCTATCCACTACAAAGGTTGGCTTCTCATTGGGTGCTAAGGGACAATGAACACTAAGCTGGAAAGAAAGTCATTCTGTGTGCCTCTCTTAGTGGTTCTGTGCTCAAGACTCCCCTTCCTTCTAGCTGCATCAAAATCATAAGGTAGAGAGAGTGTGGCCTTTATTGTTTCATAAACCCAGGTTCAAACCTCAGTTCTGCTGTTTACTGTCTTCTTGGGCATAGAATCCAACTTTTCTGACTATTTTCTCCACTATTAATTCAGGACATAAAGTAGAAATAGTAATGCCTGTGCCTGTCAGGCATTCAGAAGAATGTGTTGCCTCTCCCGTGGCCTCGTCCATCCCGCTGCCATTCTCCAGCGAGGGCCTGCTTTCTCCGTTCTGCCTCTTAAAGAGACTGGATTCTCCTGGCTCATTTGCTCCAGATATGGACAAACTCTCTTTCACTTTAGTTAACTGTTATGAAGTTGGGATTTTTCAAAAGGAACTCAATTAAATGAGAGCAAAATCTAAAATGAAGACGTGAGTCAAACCACGTTTGGGAGAGTTTCTGCAGCAGGTGTTCGTAATCATGAGGTGCTAAGTGCTGCTCTCAGATCAGCTTAGCTGGTCCAGCCTCTTGATCATGAGGCTTCAGCTCATTCTCATCCTCATCCCTTTTGTTTCCGCTGGAAACAGCTGTGATCTGATTGCTAGGGCTGTGCCTGTATGAATGTCAGTGTTTCTTCTTCTACCCTGATTTGCTGTGCATTGATTCTCAGCCCTGGCTGCTTCTCTGAATCACTTTAGAGCATCTGTTCAAATGTAGATTCTGGTGACCTGTCTCTTCTCTGGACCTTCTGATTCCTGGCCTCTTGCAGGAATAGTGAACCATGTGGTCTTCAGCTACAGCTCATCATTATCCTAGGAACACCTTCATCAGAGAATTCCATGCGTTCTCATGTGACAACATGACGCCCTCTTGAGTCCGTATGGGCTCGTTCTTCGGGGATTGGTGCCACTTTAGAAAACTGCTCCCTGTCTGCTGGTCGCCGCAGAACCACTTACGTTCTGTCGCTTTCCCGTTCTTCAGACGTGGGCCCAGCCTGGACAAGTGCTCAGCTTCATGCTCTTGCCAAGTTGGCTGTGCTCAAATGCCAAGTGAAGAGTTCTTTCTCTGTCAATTCTTGTTCACCCAGTTCCCTTGATGACTCCTCTCAGGGTGTGGAAATGTTTCATTGTTCTTAGGGATCGAGTGACATTTGATGTGAAATCTTCTCTCATGGCTAGCCACAGTGAGAGTGAGAGACAGGACCCCCCCCAACACACACACACACACACACACACACACACACACACACACACACACACACACCCTCAGGCCTTCCAGTTTTCAAATATTTTCCCGTGGGGCTTTGCATAAGACCTTAACTTTTTTTTCTAGGAGACCCAGGGTTTGAATTTTTCTTTTATGCAAAACTCTGGCACTGTTTTTTTTGTTTGTTGTTTTGTTTTGTTTTGTTTATACGTATCCTCAGAAAGCTAGCAAAGTGCTTCCCACTTGGGGTATTTAGTATTTTGTGCCTCTGTGTCTCAAAGCTGGCCCATGACAATTATGTTCGTTCCAGTGGGCCAGCCACGAGGGAAAGACAGGATGAAGGAAGACCCTAAGGTTGTCTCACTTCCAGTTTGAGATGGGACAACAGTTGTTCTAGGGTGTCTGATTCTAGTTTGTCCAGGGTAGGCTCTGGATGAGATGGTCTCTAAACCTTGACTCACTTAGGTTTGTGAAGATGAATTGATATTGTAGCTTTGCATACAGAAGCTTGTAACTTCTCCAAGCTCACTTTCCTTAACTTGAAATTGGTGTAATGGAGCTTCCCCATAGAACTGCAAAACGTTAAACTAGTGAACTCTTGTAAAGCACTTAAAATACTGTCTATTCTATAACAAGTCATCAGTAAAGGAAGTTGACTTTTTTTTGACTCAGGGTTTTATGTAGCCCAGGCTGGCCTTGAACTTGCTTATGTAAGATGAGGATGATCTTGAATTCCTGATCCTCCTGCCTGTAATTCCCAAATATACACCTGGCCAGGTTGTATTCTTTTACTATTTGAGCTGTCTATGCAGACACCATGACAACTACTTCAAATAGAGTACATCACTTGGTCCTCACAGCTCACAATGTGAACTTAAAAACAGGCTGGGCATGGTGGCGCACACCTTTGACCCCAGCACTCGGGAGGCAGAGGCAGGTGGATCTCTGTGAGTTCTAGGCCAGCCTGGTCTACACAGTGAGTTCCAGAACAGCCAGGGCTACACAGAGAAACCCTGTCTCAAACCACCAAACCAACCAAACAACAACAACAACAACAACAAAATAAACAGAATACTCCCCTATTACCCAGGCAGTAGCTTTCTGGATTCTAGTTTAACATAGACTACATTTTTTCTAAAGAAAGGGCAAGTCCAGGCAAAGGAGACTTCCCTTCTGGGTCTGGAGAACAAGGTAAATAGACAAGCAGATAGAGACTTGGGCTGGGAAGCCTGCATGATAGTAGATACTGGCAAAGATGCCTGCCCTCTGTATACTGTCATGTAACTAAGTTCTTTTCCTTTGTAGGTTTCACAAGCTAATCTGGGGAAGCTTTGGCAATGGGCTTCTGGAAAACTCTGGGGTTATTGCTGGTGGTGGAGACAATGGCATGCTTACTTTGTACAATGTGACCCACATCCTTTCTTCAGGAAAGGAGCCCTTGATTGCCCAGAGACAGAAACACACAGGGGCCGTCAGGGCCCTGGACTTTAATCCTTTCCAGGTACTGTGTCTCAGTTGATCTGATGGAGGCATGGCATGGCATTCTGAATGGGAGTGTTCTCTTGTGGCCTCCAGGCTGTAGCTCTGAACCCTTTCAGGCTGCGATAGGGGAGGCTCTGGGTTTCCCAAATGTGGCTCTCCTCCTTCTCTCTTTCTGAGATGGGAGGGGGTCTTTAGAAATATCTTTAATATTTATATTTATATTCACACAGGGCAATCTCCTGGCTTCAGGAGCCAGTGATTCTGAAATCTTCATTTGGGATTTGAACAACCTGAGTGTTCCAATGACCCCTGGATCCAAGTCACAGGTGAGGAGGCTCCCTCCAGCCTGGGGCTGCCATTTAGTGTGTGCAGCTGGTTTTCCCAGGTAAAGTTTTGAATTCTGGAGCTGGCAGAGTACCAGAGATTTCAGGCTTTACCACTGGAGGGCAATAAAACTCCACAGACTGACACTCTACTAGCCACCCAAGAGTCAGGAGAGAGGGGATGCCTAGTATTTGGTTCATGGTGGTTATTAGCTGTTCAAAGAATTTCTGGAAGGAAGTGAAGGGCAGAGGGATCAAAAGACACCAAGAAAGGCAAGGCATGATATTTATCACAGTTGAGGGGACAGGGCTGGGTAGGTCCTGTGCTCAGTAGGGAAGGAGCCAGAGTGGATACATCACCATCCTTTTTGTGGGGGGAAGAGCGGCCTCATCTCTGTGTGGCTCTTGGGTCTGGTGTACCTCTGGGTAGGGCTCTCTGTCAGTCTGTAGCTTGGCTTATCTTTTTACTTTTCTCTGTCTTGTGCTTTATTATGAAGTAATTGTGAGTTGGCTAGCACTCAGTACCCCAAAAGTTACTCTAGTTCTCTCTCTGCTTCCCTTTTCTGGGGCTCTTCTTATCTGTTTCCTCTCTCAGATTTCTCCCCCTCTCCTTCTCTGTCCCAGAGAGGGGGGTTATTTTTCAATCTTGACTCTATACTTTTAAGAGAACTCAGTTGTAGTGCTAAACCCAGGTATACCAGCTGTTACCTCCCACTTCCATACCAATATCTTTTTTTAAAAATAAATTTATTTATTTTACATCCCATCCGCAGTTTCCCCTCCCTCCTCACCTCCTCGTACCTCCCCCTGCCCCACTCTCTCTTCCTATCTCTCCCCACCCGCCACCAATTCACTTCTCCTCCGTTTCTGTTTAGGAAAGGGCAGGTCTCCCATGAGTATCAATAAAACATGGCATGTCAAGTTGCAGTGAGACTAAGCACCTCCCCATGTAGTAAGGCTGGGCAAGGGGACCCAGCACGTAGAAGATTGCAAATAGATCCTTATCTATCACCTACCCAAAACGCAAGTTCAAGTCATCAAATCCAGATACACTGAACCTGATAGAAGAGAAAGTGGGAAATAATCTCAAACACATTAGCACAGGAGACCACTTCCTGAACAGAACGCCAATAGCACAGGCACTAAGATCGACAATTAATAAATGGGACCTCCTGAAACTGAAAAGTTTCTGTAAGACAAAGAAAGGATGGTATCACTAGAACAGGATGGCAGCCTACAGAATGGGGAAAGAGTACTGCACCAATATCTTAAAGCATCTTTCTGGGAAAATGTACCTCAGCGCTGAGCCTGTCTTAGTGGGAGGAACCTCTTGCCCCCTTTGGGCTTGGTGTGGGCTGTTGAGAGGAGTAGAATGGCAGACGTCACTTAATCAGGTTATGACAGTTGTCGTTTTTACTGTCTTACTCCAGACACCCCCAGAAGACATCAGAGCACTGTCTTGGAACCGCCAAGTCCAGCACATCCTGTCTTCTGCTCACCCCAGTGGCAAGGCAGTTGTGTGGGATCTCAGGAAGAATGAGCCCATCATCAAAGTCAGTGACCACAGCAGCAGGGTGAGTAGTAGGCCAGAACACAGGCCTGAACTCCGGCTTCTCCGTGTCAGACAGTTGGAGCTGCTCTCGCCCAAGTCAGGGACCCATTCTCAAGTGTTGGGAGTGAGGATTCAGCCCCATGGCAGAGATCCTATTAGAGTGAATGCTTGGGAAGCTAACCAGCTGATCTAGATTCTTATAGTGTGCCTTGCTTGCTCATAGTCATTATTATCCCCTGATGGCTGGGTTGTTCCCAGCCAGATAGAAGAGGCCAAAGGTAGCCTCGGAGTAGTCTGATTCCAACTGAGCAGAAGGGGTGCATAGTCTGAGAAGTCAGGTTCTACCACCCATCAGGATCTCCTTTGTCCACAGATGAGCTGCTCAGGCCTGGCTTGGCACCCAGACATAGCCACCCAGTTAGTGTTGTGCTCAGAAGATGACCGGCTTCCGGTGATCCAGCTGTGGGACCTGCGCTTTGCTTCCTCACCCCTGATGGTGTTGGAGAACCACAGCAGGTAGCATCTCAAACCCATCCACACATTCGGCCTCATTTTAGCTGCTAATATCTTCCATGTCTTCCAAGCCTTTGCAGAGAGCGCAGCCAATACTAGCTTTCTCTCTAAGAGGAATTCTTTTGGAGCCTGGACCTATGGAGAAGAGCCCGGAATCCCATATTCTTCCAGGGATGGGGTCATGAGAAATATTAGAGCAAATTAACCCTTGTTTAGTTAGTTTCTATCACTAACTACCTGAAGTAATTAACTTGTAAAGAAAAAGCTTTATTCTCTGTTCATGATTGACTAGTATCCTTACTTTGGGAACTGTGATGTGGTAGCAAATTTTATCAGGAGTGTATAGGGAGCAAAGGCATTCATCTCATGGCCAGGGAGCAAAAGAGATCTAGGAAGAGAGCATCTTCTTCAGAGCCTTCACTGCTCTATCTGTCCTGTCATTGGGAGGCCTCTCTACCTCCCAAGAGCCCCTCTCTGAGGACCAGACTTTAACACATGGACTTTTGGGAGATGCTTGACATCTGAAGTCCTGGGATTGAAGGCATCTGCTACCTTCTAAGCTATAAACTATGTAGTGGTTCATACCTCTAATCCTAGCACTCAGGAGGATTGCTGGGCATTGAAGGCCAGCCTGGGCTACATAATGAGGAGGAGGCAAAGCCTGAGCACAGATGAGATCCTGTCTCATAAAACAAACAAAACCCAAAGTATAGCAATCTCCTTGGGAGAGTCTCCTAGGTCCTGCTCTGAGAACAGTGTTCTTTTCTCTGAGTGGGGAGCCTCATGCAAGACATCTTAATAAGCAGCTTGACTCCTATCTGTTCAGGAAGACCTGCCTCTGAAACTGTAGTTCTTGGGCCCACAGCAGAGGACACAATGTGTTCTAACAAGGGGCCGTGTGGTGCCTTTATCCCTCCTTTAGCGCTCTCTCTCTCTCTCTCTCTCTCTCTCTCTCTCTCTCTCTCTCTCTCTGTGTGTGTGTGTGTGTGTGTGTGTATGTGCTCATGCTCTCTCAGGCATATATGCATGTATACATGTAGTGTGCACATGTGTGTACAGACCAGTGGTCAACCTCAGGTGTTCCTTAGTAGATATCTACCTGTTTTTTTTTTTGAGACAGGGTCTCTCACCGAGTCTTAAGCTCTCTAATTTGGCAAGGTCAGTTGGCAGTGAACCCCAGGAATCCTCGTGATTCTGACTGCCCAGTGCTGGGATTACATGCACTACCTTGCCGGGCTTGGTTCCATGGACACCAGGGATCAATCTCAAGTCCTCACACCTTCATCTGACAGATACTCACTTTTCACAGCATTGTTTTCTTCTTTGAAAACCGAAGTTAGATCATCTGTTTTGAAGAGCTGAGTCTTATCTAAGCTGTTTGAGGCACCTACTCAGAGCTGGCATTCAACGAACATTGGTTCTCATTTTTAGGGGGATCTTGTCAATGTCATGGAGCCAGGCTGATGCTGAACTACTGCTTAGCAGTGCCAAAGACAACCAGATCTTTTGTTGGAACCTGGCAAGCAGTGAGGTAGGCTGGTCCTTCTGCGGGCACTGTGATGGAGGTGTGATAGCAGGGGGATCCCAGCTATGTGTTCTGAGTGGCCTAAGTCAGCCTTTCCTGAACTGTTCCTAATGGTTCTGCTCTCGCGGCAGGTGGTATACAAGCTGCCCACACAGAACAGCTGGTGCTTCGATGTTCAGTGGTGCCCTCAGAACCCGCCTGTGTTCTCTGCTGTCTCCTCCGATGGCTGGATCAGTTTGTACTCTGTGATGGGTAGGAGCTGGGAGGTCCAGCACGCGAGGCAGGCCGACAAGGTTTGAAGGGCTTGGTAGAGAGTTCTGGAGGGAGGAGGTGTCTGTGTTTTAGGGAAGAAAGGACACATAGCTCGCGAAGAAATGGGAGCTATTGAGGAGAGGGAGACCAGGCTGTGGGTTTTAGAGGAATATATCTTGCATTAGTACCCGACTTCCTGGGAGGAAGTCAGTTTCTGCCCAATATGAAGGAAACCATCATCTTAACTCTTGTTATTCACTCTGAAGCTCTATTTTGGGTTTGTTATCTCATAGTATGAGCTGACATATCTCCCTCTCTGCTGTATATCTACTTTGTGTTACACTCCAGTGTAGACTTTAAATATAGCTTTCCAAGAGGCCCACACATCTGAGTCTCCCATTCACTCTCACTCTCATCCCCATATCCTAGACTGTGGGAGTCTCTGCTTCTAGATCAAACTGGGCATCACAAGGATTCATCCCCCAATTGAGATTGTAGGTAGAGTTCCTCGCTAAGTTCCTCTCAACGTTGGTGACACAGGCGTCCCTTCCCTCTAGATTTCCTCTTCTTTCAGCGAAGGGCAGCCTCTCCCACTGCTGCAGGTGCCTGAGCAGGCGGCCCCAGCGTCATTAATCCCGCCCTTGAAGAAGGCCCCCAGGTGGATGAGAAGGCCAGCAGGCGTTTCCTTTGCTGTAAGTGCTGGTCCTGTGTCGTGCTTGTGTGCACTGCCTCTCGGGTGACCAGCAAGGAGCCAAGTCGGTGTCTGTGTCACTCCGCCCCTCACGCAGATGGTTAGTCTCGCTTCTCCCTTAACCGCCAACACTCTGCAACCTGACTGACCTGCCAATCCTGTCTAAAAGACATCTACTGCTTTAGACCTCCTGCTTATGACAAACAGCCTGAGACGGTCCCTGAGATTTCTGTAACTCTTACATGTCTGGACTGCTGGCAAGGAACACAAGGAAGGAAAGAAAAAAAACAAGTCGATTTTACCCTGTCGTTCATCTACTCAAAAGTTTTGAGCTTCCGCTGCCTTGCAGGCTTAAGGCTGTCCATCCATGGGGCTCCATTTACCTTCCCCGTCTCTTCTTCTATCTCATTCTTAGGAGTCCCTTGTATTTCAGTTATCTTCTCTCCTATGCCCACTGAATCCCACAGTGGACTTTGAAGACTTCCTAATACCACTTTCTCCACGATACCTGTTCTTAATCTTAGTTAACAGCCTCCATTCTATAGAGATTTGTACTCCTGTAATTCTATAAATATAATATAATGTGATATAATATAATATAACATATATATATTTGGAGACTCTGCTAAGTAATAGATTCTGTAAGGCTAGGAAGTGCCTTGTTGATTTTCATATCCCCAGAGCAGAACCTTTTAAACTCTAATGTGAGTAAAGGTCACTTGCAGATCTTACTAAAACTCAGGTTCTGGTTTAAGGGATCTGATATAGGGCTCAAGATTTCCAATTTTCCAGCAAGTCTCCAGATGGTATCTTTGCTTCAAGTTTGAGGGACCAGCAGTTTGAGTAACGAGAAGGCTCTGAAGCACCCAACACGCTGCTTTAGGTAATGGATTTGATCCAAAGAAAAGGGAAAGATGTGTAAGAGGAGATTGCTGTGTTTAGAGGCAGCAGTTTTACGATGAAGGTATGACTTAGGAATGTCTTTATAAAAGAAGAAGAGTGGGCACTGGGGATGGAGCTCACTGGAGAGCGCTTGCTTAGCATGCCCATGGTCTTGGGTTTAAATGATTCATACCACCGCCATCAACAACAAAAATGGCAGGGGCAGTCAGGTGAAGAGTTCTCGTCATAGCTCTGTTCCTAATTAGTTAGATGACTCCGAAGAGTCATTTAACCCCTGGGGCTTCAGTAACTTATTTGTAAGACAGAAGTAGCAGTGCCTGCCCAGCGTTCTGTAACATTGTCCAATACTATGCAAATTATAATAATTTAAATAGTTTTGTTGAACACTAAGTTGTGCTCTAAAGTTTGTTCTGTAAGTGATGTAATTATGACTGGAAAATTCACTAAGCAAGTGGGATTTAGGAAGGGAAATAATGACTAGTTAGGAGTGGAGCAGTGTGTCAATCTTGGTAAAACACTGGAATAACCTGAGGGTTTCAAAGTGGCTGATGCTACTCTCACCTAACTCCTGGTATCCTTGTCTGGGGTGTGGCCTGGTGACTGGAGAGCTTTCCAGGAGTTTCACTGTGTGGCCAAGATTGAGAATGGTTGGAGGAAGGGTCTCTAAACCTCTGGTTTAGATTGGTACTCAGATTCGGCTGGCTGGAGGCCTCAGGTGGGGTGGTGTTGTAGGTAATGACCCAGAAGTGGGCAATGTGGAGCAGTCACATAAATGATCGAGAAGAAAGATGCTGGGTAGACATGTTTGGCCCTGACTTTTTGGGAGTTTTGTGCATGCCAGAGGAGTGTAAGTGTTCTCCTATGGTCTGTCAAACCATCATACAGTGTGGGTAGCAGCAGGGGTATGTGAGCAATAGGGCAGGCTCTAAGCCCTGGATTGGAAGAGTGGAAAAAGACAAAGGCTAGCAAGCACTTCTAGGATTGGAGGTGGGCTCGCAAAGGGTGTGGGAAGGAGAGTATCTGCATCGGAGACATTGAACAAGACACTGAACAGGAAGCTTGGCTGTGGTGGTGTGTATAGCCTGGGAGTACCACTGTGTTTGCACTAGGTGCCTGGGAAGTGGTGGTACTAGGAGTGGGAAGTGGGAGAGAATTCCATGTGGTGACATTCGAAGCTTGTGATAGTAAGATTGCTATTCTAATGAGGGCCCATTTGCCATTCAATTCCTGATCCTGTTCCATCCTAGCAACTTTCTGTTTGTTTCCTGTCTGTCTTGGTCACTGTTCTATTGCTGTGAACAGACACCATGACCAGGCCAACTCTTATAAAAGAAAGCATTTAATTGAGGGCTTGCTTACAGTTTCAGAGGTTTAGTTCATTATCATTAAGGTGGGGGAGCATGGTGGGATGCAGGCAGACATGGTAGCTGAGAGATCTACATCCAGATCTGTAGGCGGCAAGAAGAGAGAAAGCCACTGGGCCTGGCTTAGACCCTTGAAACCTCAAAGCCCACCCTCAGTGACACACTTCCTCCAACAAGGCCACATCTACTCCAACAAGGCCACACCTTCCAATCCTTCCCAAGTAGTGCCACTCCCTGATGACCAAGCATTCAAATATATGAGTTACTGGGGGATATTCTCATTCAAACCACCACATTATCCAAGGCTTGTCCAACAGATAGCCTTCTCTGAAATCTTAACTTGGTGTTAGCTATCGGCTTGAAAGTATAATCTTTTCCTTTTTTTTACATTTTCTCACCAGTTTGGGGGAAAGCTGGTTACCTTTGGCCTTCCCAGCATCCCTGTCCAACAGATGCCACAGCCTTGCCCCCGCCCTGTCTACCTCAGTCAAGTGGTCACAGAATCAGACGTTCTGGCACGGTCAGCTGTGCTGCAAGAGGCCTTGGGATCCGGACATCTCCTGAATTATTGTCAGAGCAAGATTCAGCAAGCTTCACTGCCATCTGAAAAGATGCTCTGGCAGTTCCTGGAGGTAGGAGCCTTGAAGGCTGGCTGCTCTTCCCTAAAGATCCAGACCTCAGCCCTTGGCAACTCCACGAGATGTAGCGAGCACACTGTGACCCATTCAAGAGGCACATCCCTGACTCGGTGTTTTTATGTTCTCTGGACACAGGGTCTTTATCCTTTACCTTCACCCTTTCTAGAGGCTCAAAGGCCACTTGAAAAGATGGCACAGGGCGGGGGTTACTGCTATTGTTGGTGTCCTGGGTATTTTACCAGTTAAGGCAAATGCTTTCATAGTATCATGCCAAAGGAAAGATTCATTGGAGGGATTCATGAACATAAGGAGTTTTGGGGTTTGTTTGATGTAACTCAGGGCAGGTCCCTGTTGGGCCACTCCATGTCAGCACCAGGGATGTAGTCCTAGTCTTCACTCATTCAAGTTCTAACATGGAGGAGTGTGTGCTTGTCGGCAGACAGAGAACTAGCTTGTGGCAGAGTACCTGCCTAGCATGCATGAGGCCTGGAACTACAGCTCTCTCTCTCTCTCTCTCTCTCTCTCTCTCTCTCTCTCTCTCTCTCTCTCTCTCACACACACACACACACACACACACACACACACATTCACATGTAAACACATACAAAAGCACATGTGCATACACTCACACACATGTGCACACACACAAAATAAATAAATAAATGTAAACTGGGATACTCAAAGCTGTCCATCATGATGGTTTCTGAAGATAGGTGTGGAGGGCCATTTCCAAGGAAAAGCATGGGAGGAGAAGGAAGGCCGGAGATTGTCAGAAAGATTATAGTCAGAATTCATTGTTCAGTGTGGAAGAACAGAGGCCCTTGGTGTCTGGATTGTGAGTGGGAAGCTGACTTTGTGCATTGTCTCTGTGCATCGTCCAACAGTGCCTTCTCAGGGCCACTGTGGGTTCCACTTGGCATCAGTCTCCTCAGAGGGTTTGGAGACCAGGAGCACAGCTTATCACAGGGTAGTGTCAGTGGCACTGTCCTGTGGTAAAGTCTTTCCAGTACTTCATGCATCAATTCAGAGTTCTCCTTAGCTCCCCGCACAGCTCAGACACAAGGAGATGACCCAGGTGGACACAGGCAGATGTATAAGGTATCCTGACTTAGAACTGCTCAGGCAGAAAGAAAGGCCAACAGCCAGTTTCAGAGTCTGCAGAGGGATATGTCCATTAACCAGAGTCCATGAAGCTAAAATAAAACAACAACAAACAAATAAAAAAAACCCAAAAAACCCTGACATGGTATCCATGTCAACAGATACATGGTTTGCATAGTTCAGGCCACATGCACTAACCAATCAGTTACAACAGAAGTGCCTCCAAACAGCCGATGCTTTACTCTCATCCGGTTGCCAGGGTAACTGAGTTAGGAAGTCAACAGAAGGGACAGTTCTCATGCAGAAGTGGCAAAGGGTTGTGGTAATACTGTCCACAGCCCAGCAAAAACCAGATCTGAGGAAAAAAGATAAGAGGGAGCACCATTGTTGTGAGGGTACCTTTGATGGCATGTGGAACTGTATTTGAGGGTACACTAATATGGATGTCTATCATGGTATAGGAGAAGGGTCATTCACATTCGTGTAACGGAAATGTTTCTGTGTTTTCCGGTTCCTTAGGTGACCTTAGAGCATGACTCTAGGCTGCAATTCCTCAGGCTGTTAGGGTTCAGCAAAGATGAGCTCCAGAAGAAGGTAAGCTTTTCACGTCTGAAACACACTTGCCATAGAGAGCAAATAGTCCTGCTGGAGGAAACTGCCCCAGGTCACCTGGCCATAATTTACCACAGATGTGTATTTTATCCCCTGGAATTAGGACTTCTCCAGAAAAGTGGGTGAAGGATCTTGGAGAGTATAGGTGTGGTGCATGGGAGGGGGGGACGTAAGACTTGGGGGAGCCTGCACTGGAAGAGTGGTATTCATAAGGCTCTCCCCACAGGTGGACACATGCTTGAAGAATGACTTGAAGCTAGGGGGAAGCCCTGGGCTTGAGGCAGTTGACCTCAAAAGTGAGAGACCACACCCCTTTTGCCACCAGGTATGGTAGGAGGCCAGTCCACCTGACTTGAGTTATTGCACAGGAGACCTGCCGTTTAGGGAACGTTCTCCCCGCTGGCCCCTTCACCTGTCCTCGGTAGACTTCTGAAAGAGTCACTGCTCTCTTGGAGCCAGAGTGGGACACGGAGTCCACGGGGCACTTCCCAAAGCCACCTGCACATTCTTTCATTTTGTGAGCTCGGGCCCAAACAGTAGAGCTTTGTTTGAGAGCATGTGCTCTCTTTTCTGGTTTTGGTTCCTACACAGTCACATCTGTCCTTCTGTGGACAGGCCTCCAGACACACCACCGAGGAAGCCTCTGCATCCTCGGCCTTCTTTGATGAGCTGATTCCTCAGAACATGACTCCATGGGAGATCCCCACCACAGAAGGTACCTGGCCCCAGGGAAGCAGGTGACCCAGAGTTTTTGGTTTTAAGAGTCCCTATTATCTCATGCCCCCCACCTAAAATCTCAACTTTGGGTGGGCCTTTTAGTGCTTTCTCTAGTCAGAGTCTAAAATGGGTGCTGCCTTTAGATGACCTCTACTACAGTCCTTTTTCTATCCCTTAGTCTTCTTGTTAAAAGGACTGTGACCTTGCCCATGCTGAGCAAGCATACATCATGCCTGAGATCCTGCACACAAGGCCCTCTCTCTTTGAGTACTATTTTAGAAAGTTACAGTTGGACCACCGCACCCCGGGACACTACATTTTGTTGCCCAGAAATGAAACGTGGGAGTTTTGTGGAACCAGGCAGGCTGAATTAGAGACAGAGTTTGCAGACAGACCTCCAAGCACACCCTGGAGGAAGCCTTCACATCCTCAGCCTTCTTTGAAAAGTTGGAACCAAAGAGGGGGAAGGTGATGTGTGTCTTAGGGACAAGAAGTGAACGTATGAGGGCTGGCTGATGGGGTGGGGGTGCCCCTGTGTGCAGACACTGATGGACTCCTGAGCCAGGCCCTGCTGCTTGGGGAGCTGCGGCCTGCTGTGGAGCTGTGTATGAAGGAAGAGCGCTTTGCTGATGCCATCATCCTGGCTCAGGCTGGGGGTGCAGAGCTGCTGAAGTGGACACAAGAACATTACTTGGCCAAGAGGAGAACCAAAATCTCTTCGGTACTGCCCATCACACAGGAGAAGAAGGGAGGGGGGGTTTCCTGGGTCTGGACAAGTGGAGGCCCACGCCTTGGGACTGGTGTTCAGAACCCACCTGTGTCCCTACTCTAAGGACCTCTACTTCATGGCTAGCCCTGTTGAGTGTTCTGCCATGAGAGGCTTTATTGGAACCTCCCTGTGTGTGACACCGACTGACTGTGCTGGATGGAAGGCTGAGGGTCTCTTTCCCTTTCTGCCCAGTACAGCTTCTAGCCTGTGTTATAAAGAAGAATTGGAAAGACCTAGTATGTGCCTGTAGCCTGAAGAACTGGAGAGAGGCACTGGCTTTGCTGCTGACGTATTCAGGGCCAGAGAAGTTCCCTGAGCTCTGTGGTAGGTGTGACTCCAGCACAAAGAGTCAGCCTGGACTCTGGGAGGCAGGGCTCAGCCAGGAGGCAGGGACTGTAGGGGCTCGTTTCCTGGAGGCGTCACACATGTTCTCTTATTCCTCTGTGTGACATCTTGTGGCAAGTTCTTTGCCTTTCTCTAGAGAGCAAGGTTAGTCTGAGTTAGCTTTTCTTTAAAAGAGTTCTTTTTTATCTTTTATTATGTGTATGAGTATTTATGTGTATGAGTATTTTGCTTGCATGTATATGAGTGAATGTACCATGTGAATGCCTGGTCCCCGGGGAAGGCAGAAGTAGACAGAGTCCCTGGAAGTGGAGAGCTGTGAGCTGCTGCGTGGGCTCTGGAAATTGAACCTTCACCCTCTAGAAGAGCAGTGT